GATTGTACTGCTGTGTACTAGAGAAGCAGTGAAGGATGTTGTCTGCCTTTTTCTGATGCTTTTAAACATGTTTTTCTCTCTAACAGAAATGGATGCAAACAGATCTTCAAATGCTGCCTGCAGTAAAGGGAGATTATCTGGATACTTTACAGCAGAAAGTGCTGTCAGGCTGCCCTCCTCCCTCTTTTATACAGACTAAGTATTAACCTTGTAACTTAGGACTTAAAAAGTAAATGTATTCTTTTGCACGTGCTTTTCTATATATCCCAGAGTTTTACCCTGCGGCCTTTTTGAAAATAGGAGCTGTCCTACTTGTGCTGGTGACTGAAATGAATATTCATAATTTGAATATCTTTATATAATTGTTCTTTAACAAGTTTCTTTATTTTCTTCAAATGTTCTTTAACACCCTGCCTTGAGAATAGTTCTTATTTTTATTGTAAGTTATCTGTGTAAGAGGCATGATGTGCATTTACAGAAGTTTATCTCTATAACTAACAAAATCTTCTTCTATTGTCTACTAAATTTTCCTGAACTCTTCTCAAGGTGGTGGAGAGGTTAGAGGAGATCCAGGTCAGCTGAGAATCTTCTGTCAAGATATCTCTGCACATGAAAAGGTAGGTACTCGTAGTAGTGCAATTTCAACCAACGCAGTGAAGGCAGTACGATTTTGCTTGCTTAGTTTGTTCCTCTGTGAATCTTAAGTCTTGTTTGTGAAGTCTTGCTGAAGACTGTGCACAAACAAGTCTGTAGAGAAACAGCAAGTTTCTGAGAAATGGTGTTAATGAGCCATGTGTGCTCCTTTTGCTTGACTGATCCTCTGTAGGAGAGGGACAATATTGCTCTCTGGACTTCTAGAGTCCTCCAGAATTTTTCCTCTCTGAGGTCAAACTATCTGGCATTTTAATGGTAAGCTGACCCTCATTTATGTCATGGTTAAGTGTACTCAAATGAAAATATAAGGTCAAAATGATACGAAAATAATGAGTAGGAAGATTCTAGAAAGGCAGTGTTGGAAGTATGCACTCTCATTTCCAGCACCTCTAGGCTACCAGAAGCTTAGAGACAAATAGCTTTATATTGTCCTTCTGATGGAGGAGTAAATGCTCCTCCAAATTCCTGCTCCAGGGAGGAAGGGAAGGGAAAAGACATATGGAGTTGCTAGTGTTTTTAATATCACTATCCATTCAACTTTGTGTTGGAAACATTGAGCCTGACTGTTTTCCTGTACTTGGTGCAAAGATAATGTTTACTATCCAGAGAGAGGAGGACTTTGTACTAGTGTTAGAACGAATTGTGATTAGATCCTATTTCATTCTGTGTTCTCCATTATCTTGTTTGCAGACGCGGTAAGGTACTGCAGTTCTGCACAGCTCCAAAGCAATTATCAATACAAATACAGATGTGAGTATTTGAAGCACTCAGGATCTCATTCACCAAACCAGTAAGTGTTTGTCATGTTTTTTTTTTTTTTTTTAAATTGAAATAATCACAGGGCCAAAACACTTACAGACTAGCATGGAACCCATTTTGTGAAAATGGAGAGGTTTTCTAATGCTTCTATGTTGGTTTTTTTTTTTTTTCACTCAATGGAAAGTTATCTCATTCATGTAAGTCCTTAGGGTAATTCCATAAACATCAGAAGTCTATTTTCTGGCATTTATTTTTCTTAATTCTCACTTAGGTACACTTCAAATTTCAGTATAACTTCTACAAGGCTAATGTGTGAAAGTGACAGCATAATGATGCTTGTTGAAAAACCAAACAAAATCCAGCTATAATACAACAGCTATTAACTTCACTAGCACCGTGTCATGAAAATGTTTCAGAACACGAAAGTATTATTCAGAAACACTGCAGTATTATCTTCCAAGCAAAAAATGTTTGTTTTTTTTTTTTTAATTTAAATGTATTGTATCCCCTTCTGCAGTGTATATGGACAGGTACGAGGTATGTTAGTCTTACCTTAGCTCTTCACAAAGAGCTTGCCGTAGAATAAAATGTCACTTCTGCGTGAATGTAACCTCCATGATAATTATAGTTGAGATACACTCACCTAGCTTTGGGGTTAAAAAAAAAAAAACCTAAATGTGGGTTTAAAAAAAAAAAAACTTTTGAAGGCATACAGGACAGTAATGAATTACGTTGTCTCTGGGTTCTTAAAATACTGTAACTTTCTCATTGTTGAGCCTCTGTCACATATTCTGATTTGCTCTCAGAAAGAGAAATATCTCTTTGCTAAGGTTTAGAGACCTCTTTAGGAAAGGGAGAATATATCCTAAAAGACTTTCATGTCACACACAACTTGTGATGATAACATGTAATAGAATCACCTTTCACATGTTAAAGCTTGGAGTAATGTGTTAGAAATGGTGAGTTATTTAAAAAAAAAAAAAAAGTTAGGTTTGCCAGTTCATAACTAGCTATGCAATTGGATCTTCTGGTAGTGGGTTCATGGTGTTTTTTATTCATTTTTGTTGGATTTTTGTCATCCAGCTTGGAAAGATTTTCTTTAATTTTGTCCTTAATTGTGTGGAACTGTTAGTGAATCTTCTGCCTTTCATAGCCTTGTTGTACAAAGTGCTCCTTACAGTGCTCAAAATGGGATGGCCTTTTCAAGCACATCCAGTGCCCCTTTCTGAGGAGAAGAGTGAAATTAATGTCTTTGAAATTCAGTTGGAGCCATTGCTTTTTGCAGGGTTCCTGCAAGCATGGAGCATTGTTGTGTGTCCAGGTGTTCTGAGCAGCTGGAAGTCACTACCAGTTGGAACTATGTCACCATTTCTTTTTAATGCTAAGGTGATGTTCTCCTTAGTGTTTATGTACAGTTCTGCAATTTTGACGTGTTGTTTAAGCAAATGTCATGATCTAAGATGCAGCAATATGGTTAATATATGCAAGTACTGACTATGAAATTTTTTCTATCACATTTGTTTAACTCTTAGCCCCTTTGAGAGGTGTGCAGGAATGTTAACTTCCTTCAGTACTTCACTTTTTTTTTTTTTTTTTTAGAATGCAAAAAACTGTTTATCTGTCAAGCACTGTTACTTCTACTGCTGATGAAGTCTTACTGCTTCAGTATGCCTTGACAAACTTATGATGCTCTTGTCAGAGATCTGTCAGCCTCACCTCTGTGCTGGAGGAGAGTTTGGAACAGATTCTCCTGCAATCTGTGCTAGGGCATGTGGAAGAGAGGAAGGTGATATGAGACAACTAGCATGGCTTCAGTGAGTGCAGATCCTGTTTGAACAACCTACTTTTTTTTTTTTTTTTTTCCTATGATGGAGTAAATGGGCCAGGGAAGAGCTGCTGATGTCAACTATCTGAATTTTGGTAAGGCTTTTTACACGGTCCTCCACAGCCTCCTTCTCTCCAAATCCCTAAGATAAGGATTTGATGGCTGGATCATTTGTTGAATGAGGAAAGTGAGTCAATGTTTGGAAGCAGCTCAGTGATGAGTGATGTCCCTCAGTGGTCAGTACTGGAACTAAAGGTCTCTAGTATGTTCATCAGCATCATCAAGAGTGGGATCACTCTTGCCCTCAGCAAGTTTGCAGATGGCACCACGCTGTCTAATACTGTGAACAGGTTTGAAGGACAGTATGTAATCCAGAGAGTCCTAGACAACCTCAAGCCGTGGGCTCTGTAGGACCTCAACAAATCCAATTTCAGATTCCTGCACATGGGTCCCCAAGGTTCAGCAATTCCCACTATGGATACAAGCTGGGGGACGGAAGGATTGAGCAAAGCCCTGCCCGAAAGGACTTTGGGGTACTGGTGGTTGGGAAGCTGGACTTGAGCCAGCACTGTGCCCTTGCAGCCCAAAAAGCCCAAAGCTAAAATCTGCTTTTGAAAATCTAGTAAAACAAACAAACAAAAAACAAACAACAACAAAAAAAAAACTTCAATTTCCTGCTTTTTGTGACAAAGGCTTTTTTTTTTTTTATGATGAATGGTATTCTGCTTCAGCACTGTGAGTGCTTCTGAGCCATTACTGCTTTTTAAAAGAAATTTACCTGTCTGATAAATATTTCTGCCTGTCTAATGTTTAGCCTTGTGCTTGTTACATCCTGTGACAAACGGTATCTAAGGTGCAGGAATTTTATTTCTTTGGAAAGGGGTAATACTTACTGGGGTTTGAAGCATTTTTTTTTTTTTTTTTAATGATGTGTAGATCTCCTGGGGCTTTAAGTAGATGTTCAAAACATGTCTTTCACCTGTGAAAACAACGCAGCACTGATTTTTGGTTTTTTTAAGTGCTTTGCTATGTTTTGCCTTGAATGTCTCCAGGGCTGGGGCATCTGTGGCTTCTCTGAGCAACCTGTTGCAGTGCTTCACCACCATCCCCTGAGTCAAGAATTTTTCTCTTAGTATCTAACCTAAACCTCTCTTGATTACCTCTCTCTGAGCCATTTTCCCCTTGTTCTGCCCCCATCTGCCGAGGGGGAGGGTGGGGGGGAGATTTGTCTCCCTCCTGCTTTTTTTTTTAATTATTTTTTAAGCTCCCTTCAAGTCCTAGAAAGCTGCAATCTTCAGTTCTCTGAGCATCTTTGTGGCCCTCCTCTAGGTAATAGTGTTTCAAGATCTGATAAAACATTCCTGGCAGAATAGGCAAACAGTTTGATTTCTATATCGACATGCTTGGGTTTGATAAGGTTAGCTATGAGCTGTGTAGTCTGTCTAACTTATGATGTATCTTCCTTGTGTTATTTGAGAACATCGTTCACAATTAGCCTGTTAGAAACGTGCCAAGCAACCCTATTGTACATCTTTTCGGGGCTTAGTCAATGCGGGTATTAACTGTAGAAATGATGGTTATCTTTCTGTATTGTTAGTCTTATTATTATATCTCAGTTTGTCTGCCAGTGCCTGCAGCTCGTTCTTTGCCTTTTTCAGCACTTCAAGATTCTCTTGGAATGTCGGCCGACCCCAGGTGCGCCCCGTCGGCATCCCGGGGCGGGGCCGCCCCGACGCCTCTCAAGCTCCGCCGGAGGCCGCAAGGAGCTGCGAGAGAGCTGCTGGGGTTCGCTGCGTGCGGGAGTGGTCGGCGGTCCTTCGTTCGGTCCTTGCGCCGTTGGGGTGGAATAGCGGTACGAGGGGCTGCTTTTAACGCGAGACCTCGGGATTCTATGCGATGTTCTCTGTTGCGCTGTTTCGTTTCAGGCTGGAGGGAGGTCTCTCCTGAAGAGAGATTCAGCCCGAATCGGTGAGCCGTTCCGGTAACAACGGGACCGCGGAGGAGGCGAGCGCTCTGGGGCCGTTCGGGACCGTCCGCCCGCAGCAAGAGGCCGTCCGGTTCTCGCCGCGCTCCGTTCGGGGCTGGCGCGGAGCTCCCGCCGGGCTCCCCCGGCTTTTCTTCGTCTCCGCTCGGCTGCTGTCTACTTTCGGGGGGGCCGCCGTGCGGTTCCCCGAGTCCTAGGGTAGCCGTGGAATGTTTTCAGCCTTTCCAGGGCTTTGTAGAGAGTAGTTCAGTTTCTGCCGCTCTCATCGGTGGGAACGAGCGGGACGAGGCCGTATTCCTGCGGCCTCGGCGGTGCTGGGAGTAAGAAGCAACGCCAAGGGCTGCTAAAACGCGAGCTTTTTTCTATCGCACGCTGAGCGAGGGTTGCAGCAGAGCGGCTTGTCCACTCGAACCGGCGAGTGTCTGGGAGTCGCCAGGTAAGTCATCTGTTCCTGGGGCCGCTGCTCGGCCGTTTTTTTTTTCTTTGAGATCAGCACGGAGCCTCCTTTGCCGAACCGCCCGAGACAGAGCACGACCGTGGGCCGGCCTTAGCTTCCCCTCCCCTCCACCCCGAAGGATGTTGCCAATGATTCGGTCCCTCCCGCTTCCAGCACAGAGTGAGAGACTGTGGATTTCCTCAACCTCCCCTGCCCCTTATGGATAACTTCAGGAGCGTCATCTCATTCTCATAGTGGAGTCACGGTGGGACAGCTTGCACAACTGGAATGCTGTTGTGGATGGCTATGCTTTGTGTTTTGTTTGTAGGTTTTTTTTATCAGTAGGGAAGACAGAGCAGTGAGGTGGTGGAGTTGCTCTTCCGGTGAGCTAATTGGAACATACTGAGGTGTGCCTGGGAACAGATGAAGAACCAGGGGTGCTGGGTGAGGCTCAAGAGGCAGTAAATGTGGGTAATGTCACTGGGGGTTTTGGGGACAGGCGGGGATGAGGAAGCCAATGAAATTTTATGCACGCAGCTGAAAGTAACCTCAGAACCGTGTGTGTTAGTTCTCTGCAGGTGGCAGAGAAGCCAATGAGGAGAGGGGTGCTGCCGAAGCTTGTCCTCCGTACTGAGGAAGGGCCAGCTGCAGACAAGAAGACCAGGGGAGGCCTAGAGTGCAGCAGCTGCAAAGCAACAAGTAGGAATGATGCATGGGTCTTGGAAGGAGCAGAATTCCTCCTCTTAAAGGACTTAATTGGTGGTGTCCATTAGGTTAGAGCACTGGGAGAGGTCCTCAAGCAGTTCTTGATGCTCAGGTGTTACTTCCACTGTGTTCAGAGGAGGTGTATCTCTAAAAGTAAGAAAAAGAGCAGAGTTAGCAGGAGACCTGTGCGGGCAAAATCAAAGGGGAGGAGGAGGAATAGATGGGGTGAGGAGGGCTAAGGCCCACTTGGGAATCACTTTTGGGAAGAGAGGTCAAGACTAACAGGAGTTCACAAGTTTAGCAACAACAGAAATAAGATCAAGGGGAAAATAGCAGCCTGCCTGCTTATGATGCAGAGGCCTTGTTAACAGAGGACGGGAGAATGCTGGGGTGTCCAATGCCTTCTCGGTTTCAGGGGTCACTGCTGAGGCGGCTCCTTCAGAATCCTGGATCTGGTGCGGAAGAGTCTTTAAGGAGGGGTGACCCTGTCTCGATTGCAGAGTAGCTGGTCAAAGATGATTTAGGTAAAATCCATGTCTTTAAGTACCTGGGCCCTAACAGGGGATGTACTGTGTGTGCGGAGGGAGCTGGCAGAAGCAGTTGCTAGGTAGCTCTGTATCACATTCTCTATGCTCTCTCTTACAGAAAAGATGGCCAACATCACCACTATCTCCAAAAAAGGGCAGTAAGGCTAATCAGCCTCACCTCCTTGCCTGGAAAGGTGAAGGAACAGGTTGTTTAAAATGTCATCACTAAGTCAGCGGAAGAGAAGAAACCGTAAAGGAATGGTCACAGTGGATTCTGCAAGGGGAAATGTGGCCGGATCAACTGGGTAGCCTTCTGTGTTTCCCTGTTAGATGTTGCAGGGGGTATGTCAGTACAATTAGTGAATATCTTAAGCACAGGAGTCTTGTTTGCATGCTGATGGGAGGTATGCAGTGTTTACTGCACATCAGAAGTTCTATGAAAATAGAAGGAGGAATGACTTCACCACCAGTGATGAAATAGGCTGCTGAGTCCCCTTTTCTGGGTCTATTTGGGGTTGGTTTCCTGGGTGATGGGCTTTAGCAAAGTGGGACTGGACAATCTATCTTATTGCAGGGTGGTTGGCCCAAAGGTGTGAGAAGCTTCAGCAGCAGCGGGTGGCCTGGGGGAACGAGCTTTCGGACCTGAGGGCTGTCCTCCACGGCAGCCTCTTGAATGTGCTCAATAGAACTGTGCTTGCAGGTTTAGGGCCAGTGCGGGGACTCTGACAGCGAGACTCCGGTGCCTCTGTGAAGCGAGGTAAGCCACATCGTTATGTTCCATCCCAGGGGCGAGTCAGGAGTTTCTGGCTGGGTGCCAGGGTAAAAGTCCTTTGTGTTTGATGGTGATGGTTTGTCTTGGTTTCATGTTCAGAGTGTGGCAGGTCTGCTTCTGGAGCAGGGGAGGTGAGCAGCGCTGCCTGCAGGAGTATGGGGTCCTGGGGCCATTGTCTCTGAGGTCCAGCACTTTAGAGCTGTTTCTCTTTCCTCAGGTTCCTGCACAGCTGGTGTGTGAGGAGCGAGGTCTGCATCCTTGGTTGCGAGCTGCAGAAGAAGCAGAGGGGGTTCAACGGATAGGCATGAGTTTGTGTGTTGCAGGTGGTTCCTTGGCTGTGGCAGACCTCCTAATCCCTGTGTTGGTGTGTGGTGTGTACTTCCCCGGGGCTCCTGTTTATTCCTTTTCTGTTGGAGGCTGGTTGAAGCTGCGGCTTGTGTAGAGGCGAGTTGGGGTCTCAATTGGTTTAATTTGCTTGCTGTGTCTGCTTGTTCAGTTTTCCTTAGTGGTTGGATGTTTGTAGTGTGGAGTTGATGCAAAGGGTTGTTTTCTTTAATTGGAGTTGGTGTTGTTTGAGCTTAAGGGGAGAAGCACAGGCCCCACAATCTGTGAATCATCTGGGCTGCCTGGGTTGTTTTTTTGAGTAGAGTGGTGGGATAGTTTGTCTCAAGTCCAGTTTGTCTAGGGCCCCAGTCCCCACAGCTTTTTAGCAGGTGTCCCGGTTCCTCCTGTTCTCATTAGTGGGAACAAGGTGGATGACAAGGCAGATGGGGCCACATCTGCAGCCTTGGTGGTGCTGGGAGTCAGAAGCAAAGTCACAAACTGCTGAAACAAAAGCTTTCTCTGATTGCAGGCTGTGCAGGGGTTGCAGCAGAGCTTCTTCAGCTTGAAGAAGCTGAAGCGATGAGCGTTTCTGAGCCACCTGGTGAGATTTCTTTTCTTAGAAATTGCGTTGGACTGCCGCTTGACAGCCTCCATTTCTTCGCAATGAGCTCGGCACCAGTGCTGCTGCTGGGCTCCCACATGGCTTCTTGGAAGTGCTGAGACTGAGCGTGACCCTGGGACAGCGTGACACTCAGTGCCCTGAGAGGGCTTTTCGGGTGCTTCAGCCCCTCCCGCTTGCAGCACGGGAGTGTGTATTTCCTCCCTTCCTTTGTGTAACTTCAGGTGTGTCATCTCACTTGCATTGTGGAGACAAGGCGGGACAGCTTTCAAAACTGGAATGCTGTTTTGGATGGCAGGCTGTATTTCTCTGAAAAGGAGACCAGCAACTATGGCAGCATTTGGTGAGAGAACCGGGAGCAATGAAGAATCGCTGGAGCGCAGGGGAGGAAGGAGCATGTGGTAGGTAAGTGTGGGTAACCTCACTGGGGGAGTTGTTTTTACAGAGCAGGATGAAGAAGTAGATGAAGCTGTTTGCACACAGCTGAGGGCATCAGTTCTCATAGTAGACCAGAGCCTGTCTGCTGTTTGTTAGGAAAGCAGAGATTTCTCATTGCAGGAAGTTCCAGCGATGCATCAAGGACAACTTCTGCTGCAGAAGATGGAGGACCACTGCCAGAGCTCATCCTCCTTACTGAGGAAAGGCCAGTTGGGGACTGAAGGGCCATGGGCAGCCAGGAGAGCGGCAGCTGTGTGGCAGAGGAGTTGAGGATGCACCTTTGCGTACCGAGTTGGCTGAAGCAATTTTGAAATAGCTCTTTATCCTATTACTTGTGGTGTTTCCTGTAGGAAAGGAGCCGGAGGACTGGAGGATAACCAACATCCCTGAGGAGTTCAGAAAGAATGAGAAGGACGGCTCGCACAACTACAGGGCAAGCAGCCTCACCTCCTTCCCTGGAAAGGTGAGAGAATGGCTTGTGTGAGAGGTCATCTGCAAGCAAGAGGAAGTGAAGGGGTTTCTAAGGAACAGCGATCAACCAGGTAGCCTTTTCTGTTGTTGAGAGCGTGTGCAGTTTAAGAAGGGAGGGATGTGTGTGTTGTGTGGGGGAATATCAGTGCTGGTTTTAACTATTTGAAGTGTTGGAGTCTTGCAGATGGGGCTGGATGTATTTGGCAGTAGAACAGAAGCAGCACTGTTGTTTGGGAGCACCAGGAGTCCTATGAAAAGAGGAGTGTTTTCTTCAGTGGGGACACAAGGTAGGTCCAGAGGGTTTTGTATGTGAGGTGTGTTACAGAAGACCTTTAACCAAAGGAGCTGAATGGGAACATGTCATTGCAGGATGTCAGCGTGAACAGGACAGGATTCATCATCAGCAGGGGCTTCAGACTAGAGGGTTGCCCTGCAGAAGGGATGTATGGAGCTCTCAGCTCAGGTTCAGGGCTGGAGAATGGATCTGGATGCTGATACAGCAGTGCCTTTGGGGAGTGAGGTGAGACTTTTTTTTTTTTTTTTTTTTTTTCCCCAACTGGGAGGTGCTTCCTGGTGGAAAAAAGTTGTATGGCAAGTTGTTCCCTGGAGGAATGGAGTGATGAGAAGTGCTGCCTGGGTCTCCTGCAGTCTTGTAAAGTAGCTAGTGCTGCAGCTTGTTTGATAGCTCTTTTCCTTAGGTTTGTTTGCAGCTGCTCTCTTTGCCTGGGTTGAAGTTTGCTGAAAGCTGTAGTTGCAGGAGAAGTGCTACCAGGTCTCTGGTTCCAGGTTTGGGCTCAGTTGAGGCCTTGTTTGGTTTTGCACTATGTGGTGGTGGGATAGTTTGTCTTGTGTGGCATGTTAGTGATTGTGCAGGCTTTTCTTTTTTTGCAGTTGTTGGTGTTAGTTGTTTGAGGGGAGAAGCTGTTTAGACTACCTAGACATGCTGGCCTTGGAGAAGCCAGGCGGTAGCGCTTTGCAGAGTGAGGCGGAATCGCTTGTCCTTCTCCAAGCCTTTCCTGAGAGAAGAGATCCTGCAAACTTGGAGAGCTTAGCTAAAGTGCATGAGAACGGGTCAAATGCATTCAGAGGATGAACACTGAGCGTGCTGGTGGTTACTGCCAGAGAAGTTGGCTGTGGACACGGCCAGGCACACAAACTTTTTTTTCTTTTTTTTCTCTGTTTTTAATTGCAGTTCCATCAAGAACAAGGACCAAACAGTAAAGTGCATGCCTAAAGTCACGGTCTGACTTGCAGACAACTCTGAAAAGCGAGCCCTCGTGAACCTTATAAAGTTCAATGTGGCCAAGCCTGCCCCTTGTGTCAGGGTCTTCCCAGACACAACTACAGACCCAGAGGAAAACTCACTGAGGTCAGCCCTGTGGAAAAAGATTTGAGGATTTTAAAAGACTAAAAGCTCTACATGAGCCAACAGTGCACCCTTACAGCCCAGAGGGCCAATGGTATCCTGGGCTGCATCACAAGTGAGACAGCTCTCAGAAAGAGGGACAAGATGGTCCCCCTGCGCTCCACCCTGACAGGACCCCATCTACAATGCCGTACCCTGGCCTGGGGTTGCCAACACGAGGACTAACACTGAGCCACTGGAGTGGATCTGCTGCACCTCTCTTATCAAGAAATTAGATGATTAAAGGAATTAGATGTGTTAATCACAGAAGACAAGGCCTCACTGCAACACTCTAATGGAGCTTATAAACAGGAGCAGCACTACTTACATGGCCTGTGTAATGCTACAACATGATGTTAAGCAATAATCAAAGTGTGGCAAAGCCTTAGGCTGAAACAGAGGACAAACTTAAACACTGGAACTGCCACAGATACAGAAACAAAGGAAAAAAGCTGCTTACCTGCAAAAAGCCTGCCATAGGCAGACAGCTCCAGAAAGGTGCTCTCACCTCTACTGCCAGCCCTTAAATGAGGTCTGTAAAGGGCAGATCCTGGCTCCACCCTTTCCTCTCGCTAGGCTGTATTGCGTGCACCTGAGCTTCCCTGGGTTGGCCCTGCCTTCCCTCCAGGTGATCAGTTGCTGGTTCCAGCTGTGACTGAGCATTTCTGCTACAGTTGATAGTGACAGGGCTTTAAACTAACAGAGGGGAGATTTAGGTGATGTAGTAGGAGGCAGAAATATTGTTCTCAGGGTGGGGAGGCACCAGCACAGGATGCCCAGAGCAGTGGTGATGGCTCTGTCTCCAGACACGTTTGAGGCCAGGTCAGATGGGGCTCTGGGCAGCCTGATCGAGTGAGTGGTGGCCCTGCCCATGGCAGAGCTATTTGAACAACATGATCCTTTAGGTCCTTTACAACCCGAGCAGTTCTGTGATAGAAATAGATCAACTGAGGCTGAGCCTGTTTTTTTTTTTTTTTTTTTTTTTCCCCCTGGGAAAATTAATCGACTGTCAATTAAAAAAAAATTACTGATTTCAGTAGCAGAAAATAATAATACTAAAAATTACTATGCTTTGAGAAAACGCTTGTCTTTTCCCCCTTTCCACGCTTAACTTCTCACTAAGTACCTCTCTATTATCATGACGATTTACACTCAGACCCCTTTGTGATGGAGCAGACAGTGAAAGATTATGTCACGGTTTCTCTCTGCTGTTCTTTCCCTCTCGCTCTTTTCCTCTGCTCAAACAAGGGCCCTCCATTGGATGCCGTCCCTTTGGTGTGTACTCATGTCAGCGGGGGTTCATCCATGGATGGCAGTGAAGTAACTCCTACTTTGGAGAAGTAACTCCTCTTCCATGAGTTATCCGTGCCTGGGTTGCCTGCTCTGCTGTGGAACGCCTCTGTCTCTGACCTTCACGATCCCTCTGCTCCTTCCCACTAGCTCTGTATTCCCGTCCAGTTCTTTCTGTCCTTTCTTACATTCCTTTTCACCAACAGCTCTTCTAACGATATTGTCTCATTTCTGGCATACGTCTAGCGCAGAGCACTCTAAAGCCGACTGTAATCGTCGCAGGCATCCCCTAATATTTCACAGAGATTGCTCCTGCTGCTTCCCTTTCACTATCTTACCACAGAAACCCAATAAAGATACCAAGATCTATTACTAGGAGGAATGAAAACCCTAAACATTTTGAGCAGGATTTGCTAAAACAAAACCCGAACCAAACCAAAAAAACAGTGCGACTTTGATGAGATACTAGAATGAGTGGAGAAAATGAATAATAGGGTAGATCACAGGTTTAGATCTCAAAAACCTTGAGAAATGATCACTAGCTGTTAGAATACTTTCCCCAGATCACAGACTGTAAATCAGTGCTATTCCTAATTCATGACTGATGAAATGCAATATTTTTTTCCATTCCCAATCAATGCACAACAGTAGGACTCTGACTGCAGTTGGAGTCTACAGGCAGCCAGAGAAAATCCCAACATCAAGTTACAACGTGAATTCCAGTTCTCCTAAATTTGTATGTGTTCAGACATCAAGTGAATTTCACGAATTACTTCTTTTCAGATCCAGTCTAATCTTCCATAGAGAACAACTTCAAAATTCAGATTATTTAGATGTATAGGCCTGAATCGAACAACTCTTTTGATCACATTGTGGCATCTTTCCCAAGTTTACTAAAAAATTTTTTTTTTTGATTTTTTCCATTTTTACCTCAAAGTCAACAGTTAATACATGTATAGAATCATCAGGTGTTTGCCTACTGCACTGAAAGAATGGAAGTTGGGAAGCTAGAAGACAGAAAACGAGACAATCAAAAAATGCCCAAAAAACACCAGAAGCAACTTGATTCCCTTTTCTCTCTCCGGTCATGGCATTAGAGCCTCTTTTCTTATAACTGAAATCTTATACAAATAAAAATGAAGCCAAGCCTCTGCTCTTTATCCTCTACAAAGAAGGCTGTGAAAATCTTTTATCCCATCCCATTCATCAAAAGTACGCTGAGAACACTTGCTAAATCTGCCAAACCCAGTTCTGTAATAAAATATAAATCTGGTTACGTTAAAATAACAGATCATGAGCCTTCAATAGAAAATGATTAGGCTGCCTGATGAAAAAAAATCGAGCACTTCAGATGAGAGAAACCACAATTCTGATAGTAACTGAGAACAAACCAGGAGTTGTCATCACCATAATTGTCATTTGTGATATTCCTTCTGACAAGATTTGTTCATATTAACCAGCAGGCAAATTTGGGTAAGACAAAGTATTGTTCACAGTTTCACTGCAAGAGAAATATAGATTTTTTTCTACCTGATTTATCAAACAAAGTTCAGCTCTGTCCCAATATGTTCATGTGTGATGAAGCAAGCAAAAATCAGTGCCTATTAGAAATGTAGCCAAGTGCCGAGCTTCTTTCCATAGATTTCAAAATCAATAGGCTTTACAAAAACAACTCATGGGTACCTTTCAATATATCTGTTCTCTCAAAATAAGGAGGATGCAGCTTTGATCTTGAGTATGCTGATAAAATGCTGCTTCGTGTTGCAATTTCCGAAAGTTTTAAACCACTGTTTGTTTGTCAAAGCAAGGAAACCTGCCCCTCTTAGGCAGTGACACACAGGTTGCAAAGCATGGTACACAGTAGCAAGTGTCTCATTCTGGGACTGGATTCTGCTCCCCCTTTACTCCATAGTATGCCTGTGCTGGAATTTCTGTATAGTAAAAGGTAGAGAAGAAAGCATTTTATTCTATATCTTGCTGTTTTGAAGTTTAAGTATCAAGGAAGTGATACACAAAAGGTATGGGTTCAACGGAGGAAGCACCTTGCCATTAAATATTCATCTATGAAGTTGCCAAGATGACGGGAACTTGGGATGGCAGATGAACAAGCCAGGGATGCACCACAGCTGTGTGCTCACCTCTCATTTTAACAGTAGCCTACATAGATTTCAAATAAGACACAGTTTAAGTCCTAGATCAATCTTGTGACACAAACAAGCAGGCATACTTTGTATGGACTGAGAAACTACAAGCCAGATAAACTAAGACAAACCTACTCTCAGAGAAGCTTAAGGTGGAGCTTCAATTCACTTACTGTTAATGAATTATTATAATGTAGATTTTTTGCATTAACAATAACCCATTTTTAAAGAAGAATTACTTGTAAAATTATAAATTGTATTATCATCAGCATTTTAAAAGCAGCCCGTGAAATCTCTTGAATCTAAGTTCAGGTGCTGAGTTGGTCTTTGTTTACTGTGACCTCAACATTGATTTCGTTCTAACATTTTTGCTTATTGCCCAGAGACTTGAGCTTGGCAATAGCCTGATTCCTTCCAGGAAGGTACGTAATTGTCAGATGATGATCTGAAAAGGGAATACACTGTGGTAATCCTTTGCAGCCTGCTCCTACTGTTAGATCAGGAGTAGATTACAGAATCACAGAATCACAAGGTTGGAAACGACCTGCAAGATCATCTAGTCCAACCACCCTCCCATTCCTATTAGTACGACAAGCTACTAAACCACATCTTGTAGCTCCTCATTCAGGTGCCTCTTGAACACTGCCAGGGATGGCGACTCCACCACCTCCCTGGGCAGCCATTCCAGTGCCTGACCACCCTTTGAGAGAAAAAGTTTCTCCTCATGTCCAACCTAAACCTCCTCTGGTATAACTTCTGGCCATTTCCTCGGGTCCTACTATTTGCCTGGGAGAAGAGGCCAGACCCTTTTGCACCACAGCCTCTCTTCAGGAAGTTGTAGAGTGCAATGAGGTCTCCCCTGAGCCTCCTCTTCTCCAGACTGAACAATCCCAGCTCCCTCAGCCGCTCCTCATAAGGTTTGTGCTCCAGACCCCTCACCAGTTTCGTTGCCCTTCTCTGGACATGTTCCAGGGCCTCAATGCCTTTCTTGTAGTGAGGGGCCCAAAACTGAACACAGCACTTGAGGTGCGGCCTCACCAGTGCTGGGTACAGGGGGATGATCACCTCCCTGCTCCTGCTGGCCACACTATTTCTAATGCAGGCCAGGATGCCATTGGCCCTCTTGGCCACCTGGGCACACTGTCGGCTCATGTTCAGCCGAGCATCAACCAACACCCCCAGGTCCATTTCCTCTTCACAGTCATCCAACCACTCATCCCCAAGCCTGTAATGCTGCCTGGGGTTGTTGTGGCCAAAGTGGAGGACCCGACACTTGGCCTTGTTAAACTTCATCCCATTCATCTCAGCCCAGCAATCCAGCTTATCTAGATCCCTCTGCAGGGCCTCCCTGCCCTCAGGCAGATTGACACAACCTCCCAACTTGGTGTCATCTGCAAACTTACTCAGGGTACACTCAATCCCTTCATCTAAGTCGTCAATGAAGATATTAAACAGGATGGGCCCCAGCACCGACCCCTGGGGGACACCACTTGAATCAGGTCTCCAGCTAGACTTCACTGCATTGACCACCACCCGTTGAGCACGGCCCTCCAGCCAGTTCCTTATCCAACAGAGGGTAAAACTGTCCAAGCCATGGGCAGCCAGTTTCTGCAGAAGGATACTGTGAGAGACCATGTCAAAGGCTTTGCTGAAGTCAACTGCCTTTCCCTCATCTACCAGTCTGGCCACCCAGTCGTAGAAAGAGATGAGGTTGGTCAAACACGACCTGCCTTTCATGAACCCATGCTGGCTGGGCCTGATCCCGTGGACATCGTGCACGAGCCGTGTGATCTCTCCCAGGAGGATTTGTTCCATGACCTTCCCTGGCACTGATGACAGGCCTGTAGTTTCCCGGATCCTCCTTACGGCCCTTATTGTAGATGGGAGTCACATCAGCAAGCCTCCAATCCTCTGGAACCTCTCCAGTCAACCAGGAGCACTGGTAGATAGCCGAGAGCGGCTTAGCGATCACCCCCGCCAACTCCCTCAGCACCCTAGGATGAAGCCCATCCGGTCCCATGGACTTGTGACTGTCCAGATGGAGGAGGAGCTCCCTAGGCCTCCACCTCAAGTTTACTGCTCTATAATGCAGTAAACACTGAGCAAGTAAACAGCTCAGACAAAAGTAATCCATTACAGCCTTGATGTCCTAGTCAGAGAAGCCCCAAGGCTTTTGATGTTTTCACTACAAGTTGCAGTAGCCCCTGGCTGTCCCCAGGAGAAAGGAAGAAGCACAACTTTCACTAACAGCCCCAGTCAAGGCTTCTATGAAACAGTGATGCCTCAGCATTGCTGTTTTTCACAAAACTTCATTTACATAAGAAAGCTTTCTTTCAAAAGAAAGTGTTTAGGAAACACTGATGTGATAACACTTCTTCATAGGGCTGCATTCATCAAAAGTTCTGAACCAGTAGCGCTTCCAAATCCTTTGTTTGAAAACACTGTTCATCCAAGAAACAGATATGTTAACACATGACCACAGAAATAACATGTACAGAAACGATCACATGGAGAACCACACCAAACAGTTCAAAAGTCCCCATTGGGCTGAAGTTGCTTCACAAGATGCATTGAATACTGGATGGCTTACTTGCAAGAGAAATAACAAGGGCTACATTTTATAAAATATACCACGCTGAAGTATTTCTTGGCTTGGTCTTGCTCCAAACCATGCCCAGAGCCATCCATTCTTACAGCACACAAAGGGCTAGCATATGCCTAGCCTAACTTAACTTGCTTCCTGCACTGAGATACTTGAAATTCTTGGGGAGAAGAAACAGCCTCTTGTTTCTCCAGCTGCAAACACTGGAATGTAGTGGGAAAGACTGAGGGTAGGAGGAGAATACGTTAGTGAGCAGAAGACTTTGGGGAAGCTTTGAAGGGCTGTGAGGCAAACCAGAATAAGCACTTCAACTGGCATGGAGTGAAGAGGTGCAGAAGGCGAGGATCTAGGATGTAGCTCTTCATTGGGAAGGGAAGAGTTGTAGCAGTAAGCTTGAGAGATTGTGAACTATGTGGTTGAGGTAGTGGGGGTATGGGCTGTGGAAAGCAAGGGGCTAGATGCTATGTACTGGAATGAACTGGAAACTGAAACAGTGAGGAGCTCTAGGTTAGGAGACACTGAAAATCTCGAGTGAATGCCCTGCAGAACTTGGAAGCAGATGTTAATACAAATAATCTTAGCAGAGGATACACTAAGTAAGGATTTAGGTATTTACTTGAGCATATATTTGAGAATTATCCCCTGATCGTCCTATCCACACATCAAGTCTTCCTACTGTTGTTGCCAGAGATGCAGTTATTCTGACTCACATATTCTGATCTGTGTATTGCAGCATAAAGGCATTACATTCTCTCTAGATATTGGAAACCACAAAAATGTTTTGGTGTAGATCTGGATCCCAACATGTATGTGAAAGTCAAGCTTATTTCAAAAGAGACTACAAGTGCGTATCAGGAAAAAGAAGGAAACAACAGAAATTCCTTTAGACAGTGAGTCTTAAGAACGCTGTGTCTAAAAACTGTGGCGAGCTTCATGGACACACCAAAAAAACACTGTAATTCTCACAGTCCATTTTCAACTCTTAAGTAATCAGGCCTGCTGCTGCCACTATGGAATCATAGAATTAAGCAGGAGTTTCGCTGGAGTAAGACCTGCTGAATCCCTTGCCACAGTATGGCTATAACAAACATAAGCATCTCAATTTGATGAAATTAGGGTATTATACTATACTTCAGGGAGCATTAGGTGAATTGTCCACTGTAGACACTGGTCAGGAAGAAAGGGAGTCCCAGTAGGAACCAATGAAGGAAGTTGCAGTGCCAGCCTTCAAGCTTAATGGGTAATACACTTCTGTTTCATGTGCTATGAACTAGAAAAAAAAACAAAACAGTGCGAAAGGCTGATGACCACCGTGATGCCTTTTCTACACTATCAAAACACCACCACAATACAGATAGCTCAGTCCCATAAACCAGTGACTCCAGTTAGAAGAAAACATAGGGCTTGCCTGAGAAGGTCAAGGGATCACCTTCCCGGCATGGGAACGCAGCAGACTCAGTACAATTAACTGCATATTGCTCTTGTCTGTTTCCTTCAGCATTCCCAGACAGCTGAAAGGCCAGGTTCACAGAACAGGCAGGAGAGAAATCAAAGGGACCAGTGAACCCTGTTAAACACAGATTAAAGCAGCACAGGCCTGAAGGCTGCTTAGCCGCCATAATTCCCTCTGCCACAGGCAAGGAAGGTAGGCAGCAGTCCCTTTACTTACTGCCTTGACCTGTGTTTCCCACTATATTGTAGGCTGGACTGCCTACAGTCTAAGCAGTCTGACCCTGTAGTATCTTCCTGGTTAATAAACATTTGCTCTTCCTATGGGGTGAATGTTGAACCTACAATCTGCCTCACAATTGCTTTCTTTCCTAAATGCAGAACTTGGACTAACGCCACCAAAAATAAATTACATACAGTAGAAGGAGACTCTCTGCTTCTGATGTTCAAGGGAGATTTGACTACAGTAATCATTGTTTTTTTTTTTTGTATCAAAAATAATAAAGTCTGCAATGCCTGCCATAGTTTTCATTTTATATATCCAAGCAACACACTGCACTTCAGGGGCAACAACATTCCTTACCTAGAAATGGACCTAATATCTAAGAAAATGCACTTGAAAAAAGTACAATTTAAGATTCTAAAAACCAGCACTCACACTTACGAAAGCTAAGAATATTCATGGAATCACAGAATCATTTGGGTTGAAAGGGACTTTTTTTGGTTTGTTTGCTTTAAGATCATCTGGTTGCAACCCCCCACTATAGCCAGGGACACTTCCCTTTAGACCAGGATGCTCATCCTGGCTTTGAATGCTTCCTCCCCTCCCCCCCCTCCCCAGGAGAAGTTTACAGCTAATAAGGTCAGAAGCCTTCATGAGGAAAATAACAAACCTTCATCCCGCAACCCACTAGGCACGCGTAGGAGGGGAGGATCTGTGTGCTAATGAACTCTTGGGGCTGTAATGAATATGTATCTGAATTCCAGGAAAACTATTGATTATGTATTATTTTGGCCTATATCTGCAGCATGATTTTTCCAGATGCTGTGCAAATTAGGTGGATCTATCCCCCTTGCACCCAGTGTCGGTGCAGCACTGAATAAACAGTACCTGCTTTGTAATCTTACTTGGATTACAGAGTTTGATTCTGCATGTCAAGGGAAAGAACAGCAGAGAGAATCTGGGACATAATCTTTCACTGCCTACTCCATCACAGAAGGGTCTGATCGTAAACTGTGGTGATAATAGAAAGGTCCTCAGAGGACCTTTTTTTAACTATCAAGCATGGGAAAGGGGGAGAAGAAAAGTGTTTTCCCAAAGCTTACTATTATTATTACTTATCAGTCAAATCAGTAATTTTTTTTTAATTGATTGTCAGTTAATTTTCCCAAGGCAAGTCTCTTTTTTCTCACAACAGAACTGGTAAGCGATCTCCTCATTTTTCTGTTGCCCAGAGATTTCCAGCTTCAGTTCCCAATGAAGAGGTGCACAGAGGGAAAGGCCAGGTGGGAGCACGTCTGTTAGCTGCAGCTAACTCACCGCAGCATCTGAATGCATTCACAGACACACAGCCATTATGCTGGAAAGAAACAGAGCAATCTAACATTGCTCTGAGCTTTGCCCTAGTCATGATTGTACTGCCAGAAAAAAAACAAAACCATGCTTCTTGTCTGTCTCCATGGGAGTAAAAAATAGATAGCAGATAAGTAGGTCTCCCTTAAGTCTTCTAACTTAGTTTAGAATATCATTTTGAGTGTGACTGAAGTTGTACAAAAATGACAGTCTAGAAACGAGAAACTGTCTTTTCCCATCGCTGAGAGAACCAGTTTGCGTGAGGGAATACATCTAGAACACAGTGAGTGTTCAGTGGCTGTGAATACTTTTATTCGCTTCCCATTAACTCAGAAATTATTTCACAACGAAGCCAGAGAATATGACTTCTATGATAACCAATAACTTCCTGCCATGAATCTGCATTGTGACCTATGTGATATTAAGTACCCTGTGGAGGCTTACTTTGAGCGCCTCCCCAGCGCTCCAGCGATTCTTCGTCTCTCCTGGTTCTCTTGCCAAATGCCGCTGCATAGTTGCTGGTCTCCTCCAGAAAATACAACGTCTCATCCAAAACAGCATTCCAGTTTTGAAAGCTGTCCCGCCGTGTCTCCACGAGGGAAGTAAGAGGACACGCCTGAAGTTACACAAAAGAAGGGAGGAAATGCACGCGCCGCTGCCGCAAGCGGGAGGGACCGAAGTGCCCGAAAAATCCTCCTGGGGCGTCGAGACCGCCTCGGGGTCGCGCTCTGTCTCGGCCAGATCGGCGGCGGCACCGAGCTGATCGCGAAGAAACGGAGGCGGTCGAACGGTGGTCCAACGCGATTTCTAAGAAAAGAAATCTCACCGGGTGGTTCAGAAGCGCTCATCGCTTCCACCGTCTTGCCTGTTAGGGCTGAAGAAGTTCCACTGCAACCCCCGCACAGCCTGCAATCGGAGAAAGCTTCTATGTCAGCAGCTCGCGGCGTTGCTTCCGACTCCCAGCACCATCGAGGCTGCAGGAACACGGCTCCATCCGCCTTGTTCCCGCTAATGAGAACGGGAGTAACCGAGACGCCTGCTAAAAAGCTGTAGGGACTGGGGCTAACAAAACCCCGCAGCCGCGCTAGCGCTCGGGTAACCGAGCAGCAGCCCGCTCCGAAACCACGTCGGCGGACGGAGAACGGTACTTTGCCGCCTCCGAGAAACCAGAGTCGGCACGGCAGGACCCCCCCGCCGGCTCCGAAATGCTCACTGCCTCCGCGGTCCCACCGCTGCCGGAATGACTTACCGCTTTGGGCTGATCCTCGCCGCTTGAAATCCCGCTGCGGCCTGAAACAAAGCGACACAACAGAGAACGTCGCATAGAATCCCGAGGCCTCGCGTTAAAAACAGCCCCTCGTACCGCTATTCAACCCCAGCGACGCAAGGACCAGGCGACAGAACGCAGACCGCGCCCACACGTAGCGAATCCCAGCAGCTCTGCCGTGGCTCCTTGCAGCCTCCGGCGGAGCTTAAGAGGCGTCGGGGCGGCCCCGCCCGGGATGCCGACGAGGCGCACCTGTGGCCGGCCGGCCGCGGCTCCGCCGCACCTGAGAGTCGTTGCCTCGTTAGTGCGGGCGGGGCTCGCTCGGACCGGCTGGGGATCCTGACGGTTAGACGCGTGGGCTCTAGATCTGACTTAGGGACTGAAACTGCACTTTGGTTCAGTTTGTTATGCGCTTTCTCTTCGCACGTCATTGTTGAATTCATTAATAAATCAAATAATTGTGCGTGATTTGAGCGGATCACGTCCGACACCCTTCCGAAGAACATCCCCAGCCTCCGTTTTCTGAGGCCTCGCTGTATGCTTTCTGTCTCTGCCCCGAATGCAGCTGTGTGGACGAGTAGAAAACAGTCCCTCTGACTCCGCAGTCGTAATGACAAGGTCTTGAAAGAAATGTCAGCGTGGAATGTCTGTGACAGCTATTGCCCGCAGCTACTTTTAAACTACTGATATATCTAAACTTTCTCATGAAAACACCTGCAATTTGGTATAATAAATACAAGATGGTTTCACAGTGGATCAGCTCTGACTGATCGCCTGCCTGCACATCTATCTAAAAAAAAAATAAACTGCAAGTGTTTTCTCAGGAAGAAACTGATGGAAAAATAAATTACCGTATATCAACCCGGTCTCATTTTTTATTTCTAAAAAAGGAATAAAACAAATTCAGACATCCTCATTTTGAAAACTTAAACACAGCCTATCCTTTTTTAACAACATAAGACAATTTGTTCTGTTTCCATTGATCAGGCAATTTTAACTTATGACAAGTTGTGGCCGTGACAAATCAACCGGACCTCGCTGTGGCATGAGAAGTGCCTTTAAGTGTTCTCCCTTTGAGAGCGGTTCGATACCAAATACGATTCAGCCATACCATTGAGCGCGTTTAAACCGCTGACATTTGTTTCTTTAGTACCATCCTTTATCATTTGACTGTTTTTATCTCACGCTGACTCTAGCCACATCTATGACTCCTCACGGAGCGAATCCTTACGTTTGCTATTTTGCTGATTTGTTGGAATAGAGCGATTCCAACAAATGATGTACAGCCCTTCCTGCAGTAATGGATGTGCTTCGACAAAGGATAGAGCGGAGTTGCTTTATTAGTTTAAATTAAATGGTTTACAAAATATGGGAAGAGTGACTGTGCAACAGCGTTTTGGACACTTTCGGAAACCAAGGCATTTGTAAAAAAAAAACAAACAAAAAACAACAAAAAACAAACACTCATGCGAAACATACAGCAGAGAGGAACAGATGACAACGATGTCTCCAGAAAATACTTCTATTATGTGACTGGTTAGGAAGGAAAACGGAGACAAAAATGAACAGGCAGTAAATATGGCCTTTAAACTGAGCTTCTCAGCTCCTCGCTTTGTCTCCACTTGAAATTTGCTGCTTAATGTAACTCCATAGTTTTGCTTGTTCTGACGGGGAACGTTTATTGGACAGGGGCTGGAGTTGCGAATGAGAGAATAGGGAGAGATAGGCGTACGTATCAGATGGGCTTTAATCACCTTTCTCGACATAGACTGACTTACCAGGGAGACTTATATATAAAGGAATAATTCTGAAGGGTTCTTTCTCATTTTTTGTTCCTATGCTTCACCGCTGTCTCCCTGGATTTACGTCCTCGTGCTCCTATTTTAATATAAGAATTTGAACTTTGAATTTTAATTTCGGTATTGAACAACAACAACAAAAATCTTAAACCCTGAGTGCAGTTCATCAGCGCTTCCATATCTGAAAAGCTATTGTGATTTTTTCTACATTTTGCTAATGGTGCCAGGCTATAGGAACCGTTCGATCGAGTTTTGAGTATGCAGGTGAGCATATTTAGAAATTTAGATAAATAACAGACCCCTTGTCCAGTAATGGCACATAACCTACTTTTTAAATATCGAGCTTCCAGTTTTACATTTGGTATTCCTAACTCAGACTGTTCTGGTATCTTGGATATTAAGTAGCAACTGACTAAAGGTTTCCCTGTAGGAAAGACCTGTTCATAAACATTAGTCAATGATGAGTGCTTTCTCCTCGGGTTGCTATTCTATTCAAAGAAATGTGTCAAGATAAAGCCAGAACTCTGACTTAAGTAGTGAGAATTCATGCGGTTTTTTCACTTCCACTTACTGCTCCTTTTAATATATCCACATTTGAAGAATAGAACAAGTTAACACGCTTTGAAAAGATGGAAAATCACTGCTGGGTTGTGAATGGTCTACGCAAGACCGACGTGTCGGGATATTCTTAGCCTGCACTTCCAGAAAGCAGATGGAGGAAACTACAGATTGTTATGCCATCAAATAAGTGTTGAGTTCCATTCTTCCCCCACGTAAAGTTTAAATATATAAGATGCTTTGAATGCTCAGGACGGTTGGCCTTCAGAGTTCAAAGCCTCCCTTCAAAGGCTCGGTGATTTTTGACAGTATTATCCGCCCAGCCCGGATCTGCACAGAGTAAGCCCTGCTGCACATAGCAAAGCAGATAGCCGTGGGACAGAGGAGCAACGGAAGGCACGATCACACCAAGCCTTTAGTGGTGTCTGCTGGCTAAAGAGAGCGGGGTGAGAAATTTCTGTGTGATGTTCTTGCAAGATGGCATTTCCATCAAACCTTAGGCTGTGATCGCGGCTTCCTTCTCGCCTGCACCACCAGAGACCTTGCTGGCTGTTACAGAGACGTAAGTCTTTATAGGGGGAAAAACATTGCTTTCTGATCCTTGAAACTTTATCAGCCTGACTGGAAATGCTAAATCAGGGCCTCAACCACTGATAGAGCACCTGGTGGGAAGGCGGGGCCAGCCCAGGTGCGTGCAATGCAAGTGAGTGACCTGAGTGGCTGAAGCCAGGATCCACCCCTTCCCAGACCTCATTTAAGGATTGGCAGGGGGAGAAAGGAGGATTGAGGATTTTTCTTGCTGGATGTCCCTTCCAACTATGTAAGTATTTTAAAGGTAAGAGCTCTTTTCCTTCATTACATCTGCAGCTGCTGCATTTGGGCTTCTCCTTGTTTGCTCTAGCTAAAGACTTTATCATCCTACTATTATCAGGTAGTTTCCATCCTATTGTAGTGTTATGCAACCCAATCCTCATAGAGCGGTATCTTATCCTGTATTAGGAAGTTTCTTGTGAAATCTGAACAATTAGCTGTATTTTCTGCCTATTTTATAGCCTAACTTTTGTGGCCCTGAGCATTTTGTCAGTCTAGGTGATACATATATGTTTGGTCTCCAAATAAAAGAGGTTTAGTTTCTTCTGTAGAAACATCTTCAGTGACAATAGTGAGATAGACGCAGTGCTGCTTTGAAAGCAGTTGTTTATCTGCTTGCTGCAGAGCAGTTGGAGGGAGGTGGAAGAAGGTGGTGGGTTTCTTAGAATACAGCACGGTCAAAACAGCGCAATACTGAGAATGATTGAGTAAGAGTGTTCTTTCCAATAGCAATACAGTTATCAGATGCGTTAAGCTTTCTCTTGTTGCTACCTACTCTGAGACAAAGTTGGACAGATGCCCTTCCTGATGCCTATAGCGACTGTCACAATAATGTCTGTGGGTGGCAGAAGTCAGCTAGTTATTGGACTGAGATGGATGGAGTTGTCTTTTCCTTTATCTGATTATGGTTAATTTTGTGCAGGCATAATTTTTAAGATGACCTAAAAATATGACTCCAGTGGGAATGATATTTCAAAGCATGAATTACAGACTCTGGTTGTAACATAAGCTCTAGAAGGATAATACGCTGCCATAAATACAATGTAAGGGCACAGACAGAATTGTTTCCAGAGGGCTTATGAAAGGTACGGACAGAAACTTAAAGCACTTAAAGTTGCTAAAGCAATTGGGGCTTCAGTAGTTATCTAAAGGGAATATGTTCCCAGACTTCATGCTGACAGCAACTGAACATAACCAACAGACAAAGGAAATGCATGAAGACTTTTCAATTTCAGAGGTCCTCGAGAGGTGGGCTGCAGATTCGGGACCGGTGCTCTTCTCTCTGACATAATGGTCAGACTAAATGATGTATGACAAACTAAATATGCCTTAGAGTCCAAATTCTCTGTGGCAACGGTCCTGGCAAGTATTTTGCTTGCCCTAAGCTTTCTGGGAGTGCACGTGTTCCAACGTGTGTTCCAAAAAAAAAAAACAAAGGCCTGACATTTGTCTCTCTGGTGTCCCTTTCTATCTTTGGGAAGACAGGGCAGGAAAACTCATGCATTTTGCATGTACCTGATCTGAATTATAGACTGTCATCTTAACTTGTAACTTGATACAGGCAAGATAATTGCTTGCCTGAAGTGTTGACAAAAAAAGTGGAAATGTACACTAAATTTGCTGGGAGTGTGTATGGTAACTGTTGAGTCACGGCCTGAAGCACTGATTGATCACCTGGGGAAAGGACCTGGTCAGCCCAGAGAGTGCAGGTGAAGGCAATTCAGCTGTGTGACAGGAAGGGTGTAGCCTGGCTGCACCTCACTTAGATGGCATTTAAGGGCTGACTGCTGCCAGGGAAGGCTCTCTGTGGTTGGAGATCCCTCCCTTCTGGAGTTTTTCCCTGTGAGCCTAGATCCTGAAGTGGGTGAGCGTTGCTTTCCTGTTTGTTCTTTTGCTGTTCTGCTCCTGTATTGCCTTTTTACTGTGCTAATTTTTCCTACTGTAACAGTACCATAGGTGTTTGATTGCTGCTGTTCTGGAAGGGTGGCAGTTCTGGAATTCTGATAGAGAAGCTGTACTTCAACAAATTGAGGCTTGGTGAAATTTGAAAGAGCAAGATGACAGATTTGTTCTCCAATTTGGAATTCTCCTTTGCTGTTTAGATTGTCTTTGCTTAAGCTGGGTGTAGGCTGTGCAGATGAGCAAATGTAGTTGGTGTTTTCCTTAACAGAAAGATGATATCTGTTTTAATCAATCATAATGTGCAGACCGAATCACCTCCTTCATTCTAAGACTTTTGTGCTGTCTGAACACAAAATCTTTTATAACAAAACACATCCCTAACTGATGTGTTTGTGCTACGAGGGCTCAAGGAAAAAAAAGCACTTGTCTGCTGCTGCACCCCTCTGAAGAGTTACTGCTCAATTATTTGAAGCGTGCCAGACTTTGGGCAGTGCCGAATTAAATTCCTTAGCATGCTTGTTGTCTCCCATATGAAAAATTAATATGTTTGCTGGTTTGGTATTAAAGCTCTGCAATGGAAAAATATGATGAAATTTCCTTAAAAAATAGTTGTCTTTTTTTCTGAGGATGGAAAGAAAGATCCTCGTCTTGAAGTAGATGCAGTTAGAGCTAACAGCAGTAGCCAAGCAGCAGCATAATTTAGACTAGATATTAGGGGGATTCTGCAAATTGTTTCTTAACTCCCGTAAGTATCACTGTATGGATTGCAATGTCTCTGGTCGCACCAATATAAGGAACTACACTCACAATTAGCAGGAGATTTCCCCATGAGGGGTCTGCCAGGAAGGGGGTGGTAGTGGGGTAAACTGAGCACAGCTGGGGCCCTCAGTATGTACATGAACTCTTAGTTTATACACTTCTTTCTTGAGCTGATTTGGACTTTTTATAACGGAAATGGCTCCGGTGCTGTTGCTGATTTCAAAGGAACCTTCGCCTCCTGCAATAAGACAAGATAGTCTAGTTAAGTGCTGTTCTTCCTGTATCTTGAGCCAGCATGATAAACTAACTGTATGCTTCATTAAGCATATCTATCTGTATGTGTGTCTACTCCTATCACTAGATCTGTGGCAATTTTTGAAAAGTGAAGCATTTCTATGCCTGGTTGTAGTGTGGTAAAAGCACAGATGAGGGCCAACAAGAGTTTGCTCTTCTAGGAGCAGCTAGGCAGAGCTCTGACAGTGCAGGTGGCCAACCTTGGTTTCCTCTCTCCTGTGTTGGCAAGGTTCCCTTTGAGCCTTAGCAACAGGGCCTGCACATTTGGTATTCCTTCTTGCTATGCTGTCATCTTTATGTGCTAGTTTAGACAAAAAAAAAAAAAAACTGGTTTTAATTAGCAAATGCATACATAATTAAGCTTCTGAGCAACAAGAACATTGCTCTTGCTAATATCAGCTAAGGTGAGAAGTCTGACAATTTATCCTAAAGAAGCACAGTCACTCATTCTGTGAAGAGCGGCTTGGGAGAAGCATCTTCTGGCTTTAAACACCCAATTAGTTAAAAAGCATGCATCTTCTTGCAAGGCTGGCCTGCATGAAAGGGGATTTAGGAGAATCTAGGGTAAAAGCCAGGCTTTTTTCACAGAGGTTGAGACAGCTCTGCAGGCAGGATGGGGCTGCAGGCTGATTTTGATCCCTGTGCCGTAACTTCTATCTTTCTGAACAGAAAACCAGTTACAGAGCTTTGATCCCTTTCCACCTGGTGAATTTGCCCTGCTCGAGGAGGGGATGGCTGACAGCTGGGGATTGCTGCATGCAATCTCACCTGTAGGATTGTCCACAGGTTCTTCTTGGTTGCAGAATCTACCATTGAAAGGAGGTGAGGGAAAAGCTCTTAAAATGAAGGAGCTTGAGGCTTTTAGAAAAGAGGATGATCATCTGAAAGCCCAGTCGCTTTTATTCCTCTCTAACTCGATTCTAATGTTTATTTTTAAACCATCTGATAGAGTCCCATTTTGCTAATACTTGTGGTAACTGCAACTTCATTAAAGTATATTGGACATGACATTGAACAGATTGACACATCTAGGGGGTCAATTATTAAGATGTGTTGGCCTGGAAAGCACATCCTGACTGAGAAGGAGCTGAAATCAATAGCGGTTGCAACCCACAATACCTCATGTTAGCGTCTGCATACTGCAGGGAAATTGTATATAGGGCAATAGTTAACTCCAGAAAAGGCTTAAAAAGAATAAATAATTTCTATGTACTCATTTACCCCCACCCACTTCAGCCTTCCCTTCTCCAGGTTGGATGGTCCCAGATCTCTCAGCCTTCCCTCATACAGGAGGTGCGAAGGCCCCTCATCGTCCTTGTGGCCCTCTGCTGCACTCTCTCTACATGTCTCTAACCGGGGAGCCCAGAGCTGCATGTGGTACTTTAGCCATGGCAGAGTAGAGGGGGAGCATTGCCTCCTTTGACCTGATGGCCATGCTCTTTTTTATGTGCCCCATTTCCTTAGACATGGCCCCTTGTTCACCTGCCTACCTTGACGCTCCTTCAACAGTTTTCTCCCGTTGAGCTTCTTTCTGTCCCGCTTCCTTGCTTGCATTCCTCATTCTCCACCTTTCTTTTCAACTTCTCTCATTTTTCATCTATTTTTCTCTTCTGCAACCCCTACTCTAGCTATTCCCTTGCATCGGGGAGAAGAAACTTGAGCATGGGTCCCATCCCACATCAACACAAAATCTGAAATCTGCCTCTCTCTGGCCACTCAAGTCTTTGCTTTTTAGATGATGTAACAAACAAAATTTGGGAATAATTTCATGAGTAGCTCTGCAAGTAAACTGGACAGTTACTGTATGAAATGTTGGGGTCCTGGGAGTCTGGGTACCCAGTCATGGTGCAAGTCCTCTTTTGAGGTAAGAGAGAATCAGGTGGCTTGGAGGTAAATGGTTGATTTCACCAGCTAATGAGTCCTCAATTCAGATAAGAGCATAAGTACAAAACTTGAAAGAGAGGCTACAGCCACCCTCAGAAGAGTTAATGAAAAGCATTGCTGCTTTGATAATACCTGCTTTCTTACAGTACGGTTGACCTCTTCTCTAGTAAATACAATTTCTTCCAAGAAACCAGAGATTCAGCTGTTTACCCACTCCAATGAAAATAATAATAAAAATAGTCCTTTTAATGCCACATCTGGGTCTCCCAAAGCATTTTCTCATTTCCTTAATCGAATTAAAGAGATGTTCAGTGGCACTGAATGTGTCTTCCTTTAAGTTTTCTGAAGTGACAAGCGGGCTACTGATGCCTAACAAATCGACTGCGTTAATAACTCCAAGCACAGTGCTGCAATTCAGTGAATCCTATCTTATTTTCTGGTAGGCAGGGCCCTGGAGCTGTTTGAGATATATAATGCTATTCCATCTGAGTTTGTCAGAGCGTTATCAAGCTCTAGGCTTTTCTCTCTCTAACTTCATGTCACATCTAGATTTGACTTCCCCTCAGAATTCATATAAGCCAAGTCTACTCACCGTTCACGATGCAGTAATGAATGCTATTCGGCTTTCCTCTGTCTCCACCGAGTGTGACAACAGTGAGGACCTCAGAGCCCTGTGGAGAAATAGGGCGTTACGGTTTGTGTGTTGAGATTAAAAAGCAATGAAAGTGCAGTGGTGTATTAATAAACTGAATTTCAGAAAGCCTTTCTGCAGTAAGGTGTAGAGGGAATGGCGGTACTTTTGCATGAGATATATTGACTTGCAACGAGAAAAATTGTTCCTGCCAAGAGGCTGTGCCTGTTTGCCCAGGACCCAGCCTTTGTCCTTCTCTATAGATTTGGAGTAACAAATCTGAGACCTGAGGATTGCTTTGGTTTGCTACCAGCATGCCCTCTGGCAGTCACTGGAACTCATACTATTGCTGTGTGTCCCACAGTGTGCTGAGACCCCCATAGCTGCTGAAGAATAGTCTCAGCACCATCTCATCAGGTTCAGACAGGCAGCAAACGTGAGCCAAGGGTCAGAAAGCAACTTACTTCGTTGAACACATAGGACATAAAATAGCAATGAAGATTATGATGATTTAACCATTCTCAAAGCCTTCACTGTCTTTCTGTGTTAGGAAAATGTCCAGGGCCATACATAGATGTGGTCTAGAAAACATTTATTTATATGGCTGTTCCTATTGACTGAAAAGGATGAAGGCTGTCAGCTTTAAAGCGCTCACAAAAGTTGCCGTGGGCTGCACAATTTAGGTGTTATTATTTGGGACTGTGAAAACAAGAAACGCTCAAGAAACTGTCAGTTAAACACAAATGGCAGCAGGGAATGTTTTTGTTCCTTTCATTCGCTCATCCCTTGAGTAAATTTTTTAAATGAGAGCAAGTTTCCAATAGAGCAGTTGGAAATACAAAACTATTTATTACCATTCATGCTGGAAGCTGCAATAAAACTTGTCAATGGAGCAAAATACAGCACAGTCCCTTTGAAAGTGACACAGGACTTGTTAATCCTGACAACTCCACAAAGGAAAAGGCAAGTTTACGGAATTCTAGTAAAAAATAAAAACAGTGCTGAACTCTTTCATTGCACTTCTCTCTGTGAAATTAAATCTAATAGCAAATCTCTTAAAAATAGCAAATCACTTAAAAGACTTGTCAGTGCTTATATCATTATAATATCATACTTGTCTAAGCTATGAGCTCAAGGCTGGCCATAAGTAACAGTTATTGACTTTCGTTTCACGCTAGATGCTCACTTCTTTGAGCACCTGATAGTATTTCAAGATCTATGTGTAACTCTCAGAATAAGTCTATCTTCCATACATTCTGAACATCTGCAAAGCATGCAAATGTTTAGTCGGCCCTGCTGAAATGTAACAGCCTATGAACTGAGCTTTTGCCTACTGTCACACATTTGCATCACAGTTTTAGACGGAAAGTAAAGATCTGCATTATGCCAATTCAAGTGAAAAATGAGGCAAACGGGGTGCTAACATTGACAATAGTCTAAAGTTGGGTAGTTTCATAAGTAGGTACCATTTCTCATTCTCTGTATGAAGCAAGTTTTAATTAAAACATGTATCAGGGTGAAAGTTGATCCCTATTCAGTACTGTGCCTCTGCTTAGAGTTGCACCTCAAACTAATGAGTTTGCAGCTTTGGGAATGATACGTGTCTGGAAGCATCACCAGCATCAAGACTACTGTATGGCTAAAGTGCCATGATACACTGACTGGATAAACTCTACGCTCTCTTTTGAGCAGATCTGACAGTAGGACTTTCTGAGATGGTGGCACAGCCAGGAGATACCTGTATTCCTTAGGCTGTCTGTGATATATAAGGAGATGTATCTTCAGCAGTAGGCATAGCAACAAACACAGTTTTAGGACAACTCGTCCATGGTTCTCCTCAGTATGCCCCTGCTTTCTTAGTATTCTGGTGCATTTGGACCTGGGAAGATTTCCTGGGCCCTTCCTCCTGCCTAGCTGAGCAGAAAGTACCCTGCGCTACTTGGTGTCAGGTTCACCTTGGCCCAGATGAGATATTGAGAGGATAGTGCTGCAGCCCGAAGCACACGTTTATTTTGGCTGAAACGTGAAAGACTGCACTTCCGCAGGTCAAAACCAGCACTTACTGCAAGCGTATCCTCATAGACGTATCCATAGTAGGGAGTCCCAATGAACATGGGAGGAGTGTCCCGAACATCCTCCACGTTGATGGTGACAGTTGTTGTGGCTGAGAACACTTTGTTGTCTCCCCTCAGCTTCCCACCGCCATCCTAGAAGAGAAGTCGCTGTCAGATCCCTCTGCTGAAGTATGCAGGCAAATCCATTTACGGCATCATGCGAACCGTATCATTCACGAACACGGTTCCAGGAATCTCTAATGTCTCTCAGCGCACACTCAGCTCTGCTGCCCTATTCCCTTCTCTTTTCCATCTGTTCCATTTCCTCTCTGAGTGGGCAGACACCTTATGAAATCTCAGAAACAATTTCTTCTGTTAAAGTAGTTGTTCTCATATATGTAGTCACGCATTATTGCTTATCAACAACACAGAGAACAGACAATTCAGGGCTTTTTTATCCTGTTGGCTCTTCTTGTTTTTTGGAATAGGAGAAAGCTAGAAACAGACGGAAAAAATTATCAGGCCATAAAACCCTGCCATGAAACCAAGGCAACTGTACTAAAATAGGACATTTTCAGGGAAAAATTAAACAGGTGAGTTGACCAAAGCCTCCCAGGGGATCTTACATGCCATAAGTGACAGCATGGCAGCACACACCCAGGAGCTGTGCAACAGCCACAGTATATAAACAATCTCTGGGGACTTTACCACCATTGGCACTGTGCTGGTGATACAGCAATGCCAACTAGAGAAATGCCTCACGGTTTTGGAAGCTTTTAACACCCTTACTCTCAGAGCATCGGCTGGAGGTCAGTGGCCATACTGGTGTGAATTGTTCTGGGCACCTGCTGTGCCTGTTCTTAAAGTTCTGGATTTTGGAAGAGATTTGCTCTTTACTGCCCAAAAGCAGCATTTAACCCAAGTTCTGTTATTTCTCTTCAAATGAATCCTGGCTAAATAAATAAATAACAAGGTCCATACATTTTTCGCAAAACAAGAAACGTAAAGCCACTGTAAGTAGCAGTGAAATTATTCTCCTTCCACACATGCGGCCGCCAGCCTGACAGCTCTCTGCAGGATCCTGGGAGACTTTACTTCACAATCTGTGAATTTTTAATGCCTGTTATGAATCCTCAGCCATGCTGCAGGCACTGCACTACTGTGAGCAACAGTGGGGAGGAAAGATTTGCAGCAGCAATTTGTGGGATTGGTGTGAGATCCTACTGCAATGCAGCGGAGATGTGAAAAAAAGAAACATCCTCAGACTCTTCCAGAGCTCTGCCCCTGCTGTGACAGGGCTGCATGCTGAGCAGCACCTGGGAGTCCAAAGGGACTGATGCATCCCAAAGCTGGGGCTGTGTGCAACAGTGCATGCTTCTGGGTGTCTCACTGTGTACAGGTGACTTGCTGCAGAGGAGCTCGCTGTCCTGGCACTGGAGCCAGAGCTCAGTCTTTGTCCTTTTGGTGACATCACTACCTGCCCACAACCGACTTTACAAGAATGCTGTTTCTGAGCAACTCAAGAATTGTGCGAAAGGATGCAGCAGCATATTTTTAATAAGTAAGCTTATTTAGTAACCTTTCTGTTACACAAATATATCAGCTAGACCTGGAAGCTCAAAATAGCTGTTCCTGGCTTTGGAGTCTGTTGGCTTACTGGAAAAAGCCCCGTGCAAAACTGAGTCCTGCACATATTGCATTTTAATTGGCTCATAATTGGTGAAATCAAAACTAAATTTCAACAAGGTGTTCTTTCTCAGTGTGCCCGAGCTCTTAACCAGATTACCTTTAATGCTATGTAAATATATTCCAACTTGTCTCCATACTTTATCTAGGGTACATACTGCAACAAATTGGTTCATGTGGTTTTTTTTTTTTTTTTTTTTTTTTTTTTTTTAAATTCCACTGCCTATTGCATAAGAGAAACTACCGCTCATCTGGAGGAAAATGCTTACAGAAATAGTGGATTTGATGGGCATTGTGTAAAAAGTTGCCCTTTTGGCACACAAACGTCTGTCCAGCTTCAAATATGAAAGCTTTCTGTTCTTCCCCAGAGGGCAACACCAGGAAGGCTGGTTGCAGTGGGCTCTGGCTTCATCAGTAAGAACACGTAGTACTCTATAATGCAACACAGGTTTCAATTTTGCACCAGCCTGCTGCATCCAAGTACAGACAGGGTTTCCATGCACTTTTCCTTCTGAAGGAAGCTATATCGTGCTTTTGATATCCCATCTGCACACAGGGTTACAAATTAGACTTGCTCTCCCATCGGGCCAAAGAAAGGGCCAACAGGAGCCGTGCTGTGATGTGCCAGAGTGACAGTGGAGACCCCAGCTCCAACGCCTGCCTGCCAGGCTGTGCTTGACTGCTTCATGGCAGACAATACCCATTTGCCAAAGCTTATTTTCTTGTGCATGCTACAGAATTGGCCCTGTAGACACTGGTAGCAGCTCAATCCTCTGAATCTTAAATGAGAGATGAGTCTTAAAAGTACAGATAATACTTTACCTGCAAGAAGTAGGTGATACTTCCTCCAGAACCGGTGTCTCTGTCAACTGCCTCAATCTTAAAGATACTGCTGCCAGAAGGAGAGTTCTGTGACCAAAAACAGATACTACAGTGAGACAGAAGTGGCAAACCAGCAGAACTACAAGAAGTGAAAATGGAGCATGTAAGGAGACAGAGAAAGAGTGCTCGTAGAAAGAATATGAATGAATGAGGGAATCAAACAGGCAAGAGATTAAAAATGGAGGAAACTGGAGCAAAGCAAAGCTTTCTGGAATAATCAGGAGGGAAAACTGCTAAAAGAGAGTACCCTATTTCCACTGAAACCAATTCTAAAATCACATTGTGGAACTTACCCACTAAGTAGCACGCCTTAAGTCCGAACTGACTTTGGCCAAACCCCATAAGAATGCGAGTTAGTCCTCCACATCTTGTGACTTTACTGGAAACACACCAGCTCGCTCCTCCTTACATTCTACTGAAATACAGTATGCAAAGAAACTTCACCAACCTCTGGGACTTGGACTATGTAAGGTGTATTGATGAACTCTGGGCTCTCATCATTAGCATCCGTTACAAGGATCCTCACTTTCTCTGAAACCTGGATTGGAATGTGAAGAACACGTTATGACTGGAGCTGATTTACGTGAACCTGTTCATTTTCCTACTGACGTGCGGCCAAAGGTAATGAAAAGATGTATTGTAATACAATGTCTTTGCACTAACAAAACTGAGCACATAAAAGAAAAAAAAAAATCAGAAAATCACAAAAACCAGAATAACTAGCCGTGTGGAGAACACCCAGGTATCTCTAAAGTGAAAAAGGAGTCTTAAAGCACTTCATAGGTTATAGATTGGGGCTAACTTACAAAAGTCATTTTTCTTCTTTGTGGCATTCAAACTACCATGATGCATTTTACAGGAATTCATCAAAGACCATGTAAAAGTTGGCACCTGACAGCCTAGAGCATTAATTAATATCTTATTCAATATCATCTGACCAGGTCAACAGCACGCAGAATTTGGATGTATGAATACATTCTTTTAATATTTAACAGACTACCCTGAGCAATCTGCCTTTTTAAAAAATATGGAACCAAAATATATTTGATCAGCAGAACTTCCCAGATTTCTCCAGAGTGGGCACGTGGATGCAATCCCTTTAGTAGCTATTTACAGAAATGGTGAGAGCCATTGCCTCTGTAGGATGTAGTTGCACCCCAAACATGGGATGATCTCACTCCCCTTGTTTGAGATGAGGAAGATCTCTAGAGTTATCTGGTTTTGTGGATAGTTAGAGGGTCACATTTTTGTGACACCTCCAGAGACGAAGCCCAGGTCCTTTTACAGGCAGTCTAATACCTTGACCACCAGAATATCTATCAGTAAATTAAAAATGCCAAGGAAAATTGAAGAACTAGGACTGGTTGCTCATGCCTTATATAAGACCTTAATCATTAGACACGATCAAAGTTCAGCAGCAGACAAGAAAACCACCTTGGCCTCAGCAAGTCTTCTTAACATCACACCAGAGAAACACTGCAGGGGTGGAGGCCAGTCAGCTTTTGCACGTCCAATTCTGGTTCCAGTTCTGTTACAGTTCTTGCAAAAAAAAAAAAACAAACAAACAAAAAAAAAAACCCTTCAGTTCTTTCTTAGTTACGCCTCCCACTGAGCTGACAGTGAAACTTCAGGGGTAGCTGAACACATTTATAAAGCAAACTGCAAGTACAGACCAGCTTATGTAGATGCATTCTGGCCAAAGTTAGTAGTCATGAACAACAGTAGCACTGCAAATGGGGCAGCTGACACAACCCCTGACCCCTCATGGCCATATGGCTGCCTGGGCATGCACACTCTCCTTTGCCTGCCTGCAGCTCCAGACAGACGCAAGAGCGCAGACATCTCTCTGCTCTGCACACAAACGTGAGAGAAAATGGGTGCTCTGGTACTGCTTTGACAATAACGAGTGCTTTTCTTTACAAATGAGCAAAGCCTAAAGAAAACCTTAATGCTAGACTCCAGCATTAAGGTGGAGGTCTTCATCAGAGTGATTTTACATATGTAACATTTTTTAGCTGATAAGAAGTTGTCCTTTTCCCCATGGGAAACACTGATTAATAATCATCTTTTTGTTCTATTTAATTTCTTCAACTGCAATTACAGTTTAAAAAGGAAATGTTTAAGCCCACCACAAAACATTCAGTCAGAGAATGCATCAGTTTTTGAGTTTTCAGTGAAACAAAACTGAACTTGTTTCAAAAGAAACAGTTGTTACCAAGCAATTCTCACTCTAAGCAGAAACGTGCTCTACCATTTGTGCTGCACATGAGGAACATGGTAACTCTTCACAGAAAACCAGGTCTCTCACTTTGCAATGTACAGCTTGTTCTTATCAGGGCTGACAAAGTTATCAGTGATAATTTTGTGCTTTCTTCTCATAAACATTTACAGCACTGATGAGAAGATCCCAAAGGTCCATACTCTGATGCTATGAGCAGACTCACGGACCGAGGAAAGGGGAGCAAAACGTCACACTTTAAATTACAGCTGCAATTCCGATGTGCCGCTGTAAATCAAAAGCTTGAGAAGAAAACCCACAGTGTTTAGCACCACCTATGACAAAATGCATATTGCCAAGCAAAAGACCAACCGGCTTCAGTTGCATACTTTAACCATACGTGTCTGCATACTGACCAACTGGTGTGTCCTCGGAAAGGCTGAGGAGTGCCACGTTCCCATTTGTGCTCCTGGCTCCATTATCGAAGAAATAGGGGGCATAATTTGCCTGAACTGCAATTAAAACAGAAGGCACAGAAAAACACATCATCGGTGGCAGTTACCTGGCTGTTACCCGACTCTCAGTAAACACGAGCTCCATTGGGAATACTACGAGGGCACAACATATCCATTGCTGCAGTGCACTTTCAGGGTTCTATCTGCACGGGCACTTTCAATACACTCGCTTCTACCTGCTACTCTGTGTTCACACAGCAGCCAACGAAGAAGAGCATGTAAAAAAACATCGAGGGAACCAAAGCAAGCAGCAGGACCTCTCTAAGAAGTCTCAGTCAGCTCTGGGCAAAACATTAACCCTCCTGGCAATGCCCACACGCGTCTCACTGAGCTGCACACGCAGATCTGAAGCTCCCGGTGCCTCAGCACCTCTCCCAATGCTCTGAACACATTCTGCCCTAACGTTATGCCTACTGCATGAGCAATTAGCCAGAATTAAATTGTTACTTACTTCCTGCCAGACAACAGCAGAGTTTGAGAAAAGAAAAACAATAAACAGGTTAGAAGTGTGTGAGTTCTTAACAGCCCATCTGAAACAAATCCATGTAATCACAGAGGGCAACAATTGCACAGGAGTCAGCAGTTGGCAGGGAAAATATTTCAGGACAACATTACCACATCGTTAAAGATTACCACAGGATTTAAGGTTATGCTGTACCCTGCTATATTCTTATTTAAAGGGATCATTGTACTCACCCAGACAAACGTGCACCACACTGAGAAATAAGGAGGGGACAAAATGCCTTACATGCTTCATCCCACTGCAGAAGGGGACAATTTCTTCTCTGTTTTAAGGATTTAAATTGTTTTTCTCTGAAATGTCCAGGAAAGCGTCCTTCAGGCTGATGCAGTGGAGAAATGTGCAAGAGGCAGTAACAGATGCTAAGATGTTAAGCGGATGACACGTCTTAATTTCTGCAGAATTTAAAGAATCTCCTTCCTACCACGTAATTAGAACATTTACTTTGCAGGGAGCTCTGGAACTCATTTCTCAGGTAAGATGTGGAGGAAGCAGTGCACCTCTCACAAGTTCAGCTGCCATGTTTGCACTGTCCAAACGTGAAAAATCAGAGAAAAGGTGAATATGAAGGTTGCTTTCTTTCTGATGTCTCTAATTCCCTAAGCCAGCCCTCTGTTTCTAAGAACTGGGAGAGGTTTCTTTTTGTTTCAGTTATAGAAATTACAAAAAACTATAAAGGAAGAAAATCTAACATAAGCAGCAAAGAGTAAATACTGTTGTTTTTGGCTTAAAGGAAACAAACCGCATTTATGATGGCAGAAAATACTTAAAATTGCACACTAAAAATACAGAATTGTCTTTTTTCTTCTTGTTTTCCTGTTAGTTTGAACAGTTATTAAATTCTTAAATGTATAAATTTCTGGAAACATACATTCAGCAAGCAATTTCTAACCAACTCATTAAAAATGTGGAAAAACTTTAAAAATAGCTTTTCTTTCTTGCTTTGGTTCTCTATACATAAAACTTGCCCGCTTTAATTAGATCTACATTTATCATACAGTAAATTATAGAGCTAAAAAGCAGCCAGTGTGGGAAGTTGATGACCAAGTTTTGGCTGCTGGAAGGAGCTCCCCCTGTGGTGATACAAAGAGTGTTAGCTGTTTGGACGTAACCTGAGGCAAAGCACTTGTCCTTTAAGCATGCCTTCACGGTGTTCTGGTTCTGCTTTTTGACTAGCAACGCCCATGAAAAAAGTGTTGGAAGAATTAACCAAAGAGTTCCCCCTTGCGGTGCTTTTAACGCACCAGAAGCGACTGCAGCTCGGTGGCCAATGATACAAAGAAGCATGGAGCAGGAAGCAGCTCTGGATTTGGCAACGGGGGACATTTTTGGCATTTCTACGCCTTCAGATTCCACTGGACCTGCAGTATGCCTGTGGGGACTCCTTTGCCCCCTGAACGAATCAACTGTGGTGTTCCCAGAAAAGAGCACTGTGGATAATGTCAGCAAAACTCACCATCCGTAGGGGAACTTGTCAGAGAGTGGCAAAGAGAGAAAAAGCTTGGAAAGTCTCCAACGTAGATAGGATGGACTCATGAAGGTATGGCTCACTGGTGAGTAATAGCTATGACAGGACAGAAGCAAACCCTGGCTCAAGGAGGCACTAAATTACCGCCTGACAGAAGCTGAAAAATTTAAACCAGGGGAAACATTCCTCTGCCTTATGTCAACTTGCTCCTCTTACAGCTTCCACTGAAGAGATCACACCTGTGGTGTGACCCATTGTGACTACTCTTACACAGCAATGCTGGGAAAAGCATGGCATCAAACCAATGTTTGGCTGTAGCAGCACCCTGCAATGCTCAGGGGACAAGGCATTCGAATTCACAATACAAGGATCCAGTGCTGAAAACTGTGCAGGAGAGAATGCACGTACAGAAGGCAGATATCAGTTTAAGCCCCATTACAGATTTAAGCATGTCATCATTGTTAACAATAATACTGAACCACAGATAAAATAACAAAACACACTTGCCTGGTACCCAGGAAGAAACACAAATAGCACCTGAACTTCCACTTGCTGCCTCTTCAGCCCACAGTTTTTAGCACACTTCTTTCTGCAGCCTTTTCCTAAGAAAAGGGAGGGTAAGCCCTGCAAAGCTATTAGCTGTCAGCTCATCTGGCTGCACTCCGGGGATCTCAATCCCCAGGGCCCACATCTCTGGGAAGCAAAACGTCTCACTCTGAATTTCAAGGAGGCTGAGCTCTTAATCCCCACAGAGTTTTAAAACCCAGCTGATGTGCTTCCATGCACGCGCAGGTGATACAGCTAGGGAGCAGCATTCAAGCAAAACATTTTTTCAGTCAGCAAATATTCTTGCTTTAAAGCTAGCAGAATTCATGAAACCAGGCTGATTTTGATGGGAAGAGAAATGGCAGTAGGGGGTTTCAGGACAGCGATGTTTGTAGGAGTGGCAGAATCCCACGGAATAAATCCTATAGAATTAAATTTCCATTTCATAAATTAATTTTAAGTGTACTGAATGGCAAGAAACAAAATACAAGTGTCCCTGTTGGCCAGAAGCCAAGAACCCACCAGCACCCACCTCCACCCAAGCTAAGGGCAAAGCACCTGGAGATAAAAGCTGCTTTCCCATGGAGGTGGCCTTTCCACCTGGGAGCAATGCCCTCGCTGACACCTTCCTGACAGCACCCACTTGGCATCTTCGTGTGAAGTTCTCACCAAGCTGCATTTCCACCAGGCTTTAGATGCTTGCACGTGGAGTTTAAAAGTGAGAGGAAAATAAAATTAAAGAAAATAAGTGATTACGCTCCACGGCTCTGCTTTTCTTTATATTAACTGTGCACAGTCTTCATATTTTGTGCCTGCCTCCATTTGAGCTAAAGCCTCCTTTGTTTTAGTCTCCAGACAGTTTTGCTAAGTAATGAAATTCCCATTTGTGTCATAACTGCTCCAGCTCCTCTTTTTCCTATGCTCATCCTCCTACGCTGGCTGCATACACCATTAAGTGCTACCTCAGGGCAGAACATTCTGCATTTGTTATATGTACATGTGCGTAAATAAATTCAACACTACCAGTACTGCACACTTTATATAAACCTCAGCGTGTGAAGAAAGAGCCCAAATTACTCTTGCTTTCCCTCTCTAAATCAGCTGCAAAGAAGAGCAGTGGGAGCAATCAGCCATTTCTGGAGGCAATTTGCAGAGAACGATTCACTCAGAATTGCTTGGTTCAACAGCCACGAAGGAGAGAAACAGAGGCTAAGCCATTTTCCAGACCCTTCTTGAAATTCTCCCTATTTTCGAGTATTCAGGTGCAACAGGGGAGTGCTTATTTACCACTGAAGGCAAAGGAAGGGGAGAAGGGTAGTCCACCAACATGCAGCAGTAATGTGGACACTCCGACAGCCCCAAGCCTGGCACAGCTGCAACCACAGCCACATAGTTTCTACCCCTCAAAATCAACCCCCAAAGGACAGAGAAATGACTCAGACTGCGGTACATCACCACTCTCCACAACACCCGTAACACAAGGGTAAAAACAACAGTAGTGAAAAAACTAGCAACAAGCAATGACGTCTATTTCAGACAACTGTTTTTAGTCGTGATATTTCCACGTATCACCTTGAATCTGCCTACCACAGCACCAAAGCTTTTGGCTGCTGAGAGAATCTATGAGAAAATCACTGGAATCCTTAGCACTGGACCCTGAGCAGTCTGATGGCAGTAGACCAAAGCTTCAAGTTCCTTTAGGTCCCCTCCACCATCCATCATCGTCAGTTTTCTTCCCAGCTGTAAGGAAGTAGACTCACAGTACCATTTCATAATAACAACAGCAAAAAAGAAACAGCTGTGTGATAATAGGAGTTAGATCTAATCAGAGATATGTGCTTGAGACAGTGGCAACTCGATACTTCCCTGTTACCAGAACAAATAAATCACTTCCTCTATGAAGTTTATGTACCTCTCCACACTTGTTCCCGTCACTGGAAATATGTAAAATTGTTAAAAACAATAGGGAATTTCTTGATAGTCTTGGAGCCAATAAACATCTCTTTCTGCTTCTCACAATGTTCCTGCTTTATTATGAATTGAATGAGCTTAATGCTTTTATGTCTGAAATAAATGCTTATCTCACAGTTACACCATTACACATGGGGGTCTAAGTTCAGTTTTCACCTCTGCCACAGTTTATGAATAATCAGCCCAAGTTTGTTAAACTCATATTGAAGTCATCAAAAGATAGCAACTGATTTTCATGAGTGATCTTAGCCAAACTTACAAATCTTCTGCAGCTCATAGAATAGAAGGATAAACAAAAGAGGGGGAAAATAACATTACCAGTGTGTTCTACAGAAAGCATTGCTGTATTATTTGGTTTGAGTTTAAAGAACAAACAGCATGAGTCTATACTCAGCTGTCTACACTCCTTTTTATATTACAATTTCACTGAACAGCTGTGCTAAACAACAGTAGTACACAGAGTGGGAAAACCCTTGACAAAACTGGTAACTCAACTAATGTAAGAAGATGCCAATTCCCCTCAAAAGACACAAGAATAGCATTCTTCATCCTTGAGAAGAAAATGATAGATTTAGAGAAACAACTACAAGCACCTTACAACAAGCGTTTTGTCAATTTGATCCTTCTTGAAGCGTCCTATTTTGGACAACAAAATGAAAGCACTCAGAATGGCTGATTACTTTTGAAGTCCTTGCACAAAGTTTGGGAAAAAAAACAAAACAAAACAAAACAAAACAACAAGCCACTAATTAAACTTGCACACAAATTGCAGTTTCCTTGTGAAAGAAGCAGTACATTCACTTGTTTAACAAGGAAGTTGAACTAGATCATGAGTGTCCAACCTTTTGGATTGCCTCAGCTGCACTGAGTGAAGAACTGCCTTAGGCCACATTTTGAATGTATAATATAGTTACATATACAAGTAACAAAACTTTTTTTAGTACATTTTTTGTTAAAACATAAAAAAGGAGGGCAACAAAAAAGTCATAAAATGACTGAGATACACGACCTTGTCTTTTTAAAGCTAATACATCAATGTCTGGTTCAATGGCAGTGGCTGCAATTCTCAGTGAGCTCTCAAGGTATACATCAGAGATTTTGGAAACTTTTCCTTTCTTCACCCTTGAAAAGAACTGTTCAAACATATGGATCACCAAAAACCTGTGACATGAACAAAGTGTTCTAATGCGATGGAAGGTATAGTGGTGACAGCAGAGCAGCAAGGTCCCAGGCTACAGCAAGCAAGGACTTGCTCAAATGCAACAACTATGGATACAGACATAGATTAAAGAAGCTGCTTACCTTTGGAAGGCTTCGGATAGGCAGGGATCTCCGCTGGGATACCCTTGCTTCCACTGTCAGCCCTTAAATGAGGTATCGGAAGGGGTGGATCCTGGCTCCAGCCCCCCCCAATCACTCAGCGGCATTGTGTGCACCTGAGCTCCCCCGGGTTGACCCTGCCTTCCCGACAGGTACTCCATCATTGTTTCAGGTCACAACCTTGCATTTCTGCTACAGGTGTGATTGTGAAGAAAGGTTATTTCTCTCTGGTAAGAGAGGGCTTGTAAAAGTCTGTTAGTATAATAAATTAATAAAAGGAAAATACTTCTGATATGTATAATTGAAAAACAAACAAAGAAAACTCCCAAAGCTGGAAGTCTACCTACAATTAAACCTCTACTTGTGTTCAGTGCTACTGAAAAGGCAGAAGGAAGCAAAAAGTTTTGTTTCAGTAACTGCCAGCAACACGTTCTTGTCAGGTTACGTTCCAGAACCCAAAGGACAAAATACTTCGTTGTTCTAGCATACACAGAGGGAAACCAGGATATGGAAGTAAGTATGGTCAAAATTTCAAAAGGCTCAAAAAAATAACAGATTTGTTTGTCCCTAACTCCTCAAATTGTCCGATACAGTTGAGTCAGACCAGAACCTTCTCTAGCTGGGAACTATTTAAAATGTCAAACTCTATAGAAACATCTAAATGAAACTAATTTTCATTCTCTGTGGGCCCAACTTGCTGGACATCTGCTAATATTTCTGCTTGGCACTGTACGAAATGACTCACTGTTCTGCATCAGGAACCAACAAAATCTCCCAGGCAGCAGTGCAATCACGAGGTAATGTCCTGCGAAGAGAAAGTACTCACGCCTCCCTAGGACAAAGAAGGTAGTCTTAAAAAGAGAGTAATACTATTCTGTGTGATCAGACAGCCTGCAGTTTTACATACCACAGTACAGTTAATGCCATGCTGTAGTTTTATACAATGCTGTCATGAGGCAACCACAGCAGTGAGATCGTATCTCCAAACAAACTAAGAACTGACAATGGTAGGAAAACAGAGGGAGAGCAGGCACAAATATTACTGATTTGTTTCCAGGGCAACTTTCAAACAGATGTCAAAATGCTTCCCAACAAACTTTTTTTTTCCCTCCCCCCCCCCCCGATAGGTAAATTCAGGCATAACGAGACCATCCCCTAGAAAAAAATGCCAATCTGCAACACAAAACTTTTAGACCACTTGCCAGCATGACTTACCACAAATTGCAGTCATTAGCAGTAGGTGGTCATGGAGTAGGTTCGGGGAATTCCTGGGATGAAGCAACAATTCCCACTGCTTCATCTCAGATGTGGTTCTTCCTCATTACAGCCTGCTATAGGGTGTTTATGATACTTGAAGAAATGGTGCTGCAGGTAACTGGGGCATGGAGAAATTTTAACGTGTCTGGTAAGTAATTGAAATTCCTGTTAAGCCATTTCATTAGCTTAGAAGCTCTCTAAGGCTACTGAAAAATCAATTCACAATTCAGTAAATGCAGTCTGTTAAAAGCTACATATTGCTGTCCTCATTTTGTTTTGACAGGGACACAAGAACAAACAGACACTAAAATATTCAGGTATATTTAGATAGCCCATGTTCACTTCAGCAGCACGGTCACTAAAATATGTGATGCCATGGAGCATGACACAGATTTGTGTGAAGGATGCCACTTAGCAGCAGACAGACAGTCCAAGTTATTTATGAAAGAATAACAACTGTTCATTTTCCCTGCAAAAATTGTACATATATCTCAGAGTTTGTGAGGGTGGGGTGTGAATAATGAATGAATCAAGATTTTATAATTTACTTGGTATGGCTGTGAAAAACAAGAGAAAATGAAACAAAAAATAAGAGAACTTGTCAATGCAGAATAAGGAAACGTTCTTGTTTGCCCTGTAAATTTGATGGGTGGCGTGCATGCCATGGACATTACTGTATAGATGGTCTGTTTACAAGGCAATGGTATGACTTGTTGAATCAGAGGATGTATGAAAATTACATATATTTATTTTATTGGCATATATAAGTAAAATCAGCTTTTTAGTAGAGGAAATGGACAAATACGAAGATCACAGGTAAACTACGCCCCTGACTGGAGATCAGCTTTAGACCACACGAGCAATTCAGCCACAGCAGATGATGCAGTCTCTGAATTTTACTCAGGTAAATGCGTGGCACCATGGTTGCTGATAGTTCCACAACTTCTGTAGCTGAGAATGCAGATGTGTGCCTTCACTGTTCTCAGTGGGGAATCCCACAGATCAATTACACTCAACACTATGTGTCAAGGTACTTACCTTGTTAGGATTTTGAAGATCTAACTGGCTGGAGGACACCTCAGTCTTCATCTTGGATTGCTGTAATGAGAGGCAATCCTTACACCAAAGTTCATCCTTAACCTGAAAGTTCTGAATGCAAGATACATTTCAATAATTTTTCTATCCATAACACGAGATCTAAAAACTTGGCTTTGAAGTAATTTACCTTACCTCAAAAACACATGGGACCATCACTCTGTTCCCACATAAACTTTTGGTAACTGCCACTGGAGAAATTTCTACACAGTCAACAGTCCTCTAAATACACTGGTTTTCATGATTTTCAAAGCAAGCTGTTTACACTGAATAAAGCCCACAGACAGGCTCTTCACCTCACACACCTTCAAGTACTTTATCTCAAAGTACCACAGTTATTGAATTTTTCTCTCTCTCTTTTTTTTTTTTTTAACAACCCATTAGTAGATTTGATAGGACTATATAGTGAGAATCTCAACTACAAGTGCCAATTTGAGGACTGAATGGATTTCACTTCTCAGACTTCAGGATCTTTTCTCCAATCTAGTCAGTCTTCACCTAACTCAATAGAAATATGGGGGATTTCAAACATCAAAGGTGGAAATTACAAGGCTAATATTAACCACGTATGTAATCCTTTCCCAGACATAACTTGAGCTCAGGTATTTTCTGTTTCATCTCATCATCCACTCATCCAAATGCTTTCACAGAAGCAAGCAGCCTAAGTATATACTTAACCAAGACAAAGGAAAATGCTTGTTTGTTTAACCTTAGTACAATCAAACAACTTCAAGACAAGAACCCAGTGACAACAACCATCATTCATTGTTTCCCATATAATCAAAAGTTAGCAACTGAAAGGTTCTTAAGTTGAAGGGAATGTTTTATAGAGGGACTTGTGGACCCTACTGAATATCCATCCCATTCAGAAACTTGTTTCAAGACATCTGACTGCTTCTCTGATCAGATGGACTTCTTCACACTGTTTTTGCATGAAATCATCTTTCTTGCCAGGCAGATGCAAACAAGTTTTAGCTCTGCTCAGTGAGCGCACTGCACAGCCAGCACTGACTATGACATAGGGCTCTTCAGTGAGACAAATGGGAAGTTTTGACTCGAAAAACCACCTAGCAAAGATGGTAATATCCAGCGCACTGTGGCTGTAGGATCCAATTATAAGAGCATGCCACAGACATCTTATTTCCAGAAACCAAGGGAAGATGAATTGGCTACAACTAACCACATAGCACTCCCCAGGAATGTGCCTTTTTGTCCCTCGGGTTGAGATATCAGTGCTAATGACCAAACAACATTGGAGAAATGAGGAGAACAGATCTCTTCTGCCACTGACAGACACTGTCACCTTGCTTGTCAGCTGAGAGAAACCCTACTGCTGTTTCGCTTTTAGACTTGGACATCTTATTAACCAGGGTCTATTAGTGCTTTGAGTGCGTTAAGCATATCACAATTGTGTAAGCTGCGCTGTTAGAAGGCTGCACGTGTGGTCCAGTTTTAGAGACTTGATCACAATCACTCACTGAACAGGCACATTGTGCACAAAAGCTTTCAAATGTTTGGGCTGGTATTTCTCCCGTACAAGGCTTAAACCCTCTCCTGCAAGCATCTGTGCTGCACTGCTAGCTGTGACTCACTTGCTCTCCAGCAAATGCGCCGCATGCAGTTTGAGCCTGACACCAACTGGGCTTGGTTTGACAGCTTCTTGCAATTGCAGAGGTTTTTGGGAGTGTGCAAGAAGACAGGCAAGTCGTGCCCAGTTTAGGATCTCTCAAGGCATCAAGTGACCTGATTTCTCTGATCATGCTTTCAGAGGCTGACTAGATGGCACTGAGACAGTAACGTGCTTATCTTACTGCAAATCTCTGGCCTCTGTCATTCCCTCGTTGAGTACCAGCCTGAAAATATGGAGTTAAATCCCCTACGCCTAATGACAGGCATGGGGACAGACAGCAGGGCCTCTGAGACAAAGTGGCAGCTGAAGGGCTGAATGATGACTTGGACAAATGCACATCCAGATAACTTTTCCAGCAGATTTCACCAGTGACACACTGAAAACACAAGTAATTTGGGGGAAATTCTCCCATGCCTATACACCTACTCCAAGATGAAAATGTGAAATATGATGAGACAGCTGGGTGCTAGAAAGCAACTTAGTCATCCAGTGCCCACCAGAAGCCTTATAATGCTGAATTGCTGCTGGGAACTGAAGTCACGCACGAGTCAGAGCCAACATGCCTGCACATGTTACTTAATGTAGGGCTAAGGAGCTCTTTTTTCCCCCCACCATCATCTAAACAAATACTTAATTCTGCAGAGAAAACAGCAGAGACAACTGCTCAGATCTAATGAGGGAAAAATTTGTCCATTTGATGCCAAAAATAAAAAGATTGACTTGTGAAGCAATTTTCCTTTCAGCTTCAACTGAGGAGAGAAGAAAGTCACAGCTAAATTTTAGCTGGATTCTTCCCAAAATGAACTTTGGTCAAATATAGATAGAATTCAATCTGCATTCACCATCTGGCAATGCTGCTGTATCTGTCTGGTAGGTCAGTTAGCAGCAAAACTGGACAGAAGAGGATCAGGCAACGTGTCTCTAGACTCAATCCTCTGAACTCTCAAATCACCAAGAACCTTCCACTCAGCTTCAGCAAGAGCATACAGAACTGCAAGAGCAAGAAGTCATGCCTCTGCTTTCATGCTTCACCTGGCTAATCATCTGTAATGACGTTACCTATGCAGGATTTTGTTTTTTCTTAGAAAATATAATCATAGGAAACTGCCATAGTAGCCCATACTTTGGATTAACAGAACTTCTGCAGAGCTAAAATCCTGAAAGCAGCTACACCCAGACCCTCGAATGAGGTGTAGGCCAGAATCAAGACAGCTGAGGATTCAATGGCAAGAATCCCCAGTACACCTCTGAGGCTATTATTTGTACAAAGAATATGTAGCTTTGAGTCTTCTGGTACAGAGTTTGTAGGAAAAAAACAACAAACTGCTTGTGCTCTAACAGCCCCTCTCAGCAGCAACCATTTCTCTGTGCCCCTAATGGGTCACATCCGTAGTAGCATATAAAAGACCAATTTGGTGTCAGCTGATGGTATTAATCTCAGAACAAGTGGACAATATCAGACTAGGATCCAACATGTATTCTGGGAGGCATAGAGATACATCAAAAATATCTTTATTGGAACTTGAAAGCTCTACAGTCTTCATGCCTGACAGCCAGGTGCACACAAAAATGCAGGATACAAAGAAATGCATGTGTGAGCTTGGGCACGCTGAATTTATTGCTTCGTGTAAGCATACCGACTGTGGATTTTGCAAAGCCACTGAGTAAATATGTTTCTCCTCAGGTAAAGCCAAAAAAAATAAATATGGAAATAAAGGAAACAAAATGAAGAACAGGTGCCTATAAGGTGAAGCTGTGATCAGGAGGTAACTCTGTTCTACCACATAGGGAAAATAGTTCAAGAAGTAGAAGTCCGGCTTCAAGGTGAGGAATCACCTTTGGGAAGATGACAGATGACCTCTTGGATACCAGTAGGCCAGGCAAAAACCGTATTTGAGCAGCAGTCATCACAGTCAGAGCTGAAATAGCTTGAGGAGTCCTGCTTTAGTTTGTTCAGTCAAAACCAAGGCCTCACTGACATGACATATTTATATATTTGAAGAGACCTTAACCCTAGGTTGAGGCTAGTCTGAAAAGCCAGGTGAATAAAAATACCCAAGTGCCTTGGTGATGCATTTCTCTAATTATGCTGATGGTCTTGGGCAACTTCTTTTGCTACCAGAAACAACGCTGACTGAAAAAGGACCAGAGCGTGGATCCTGCTGTTAGGAGGACAAAAAGAAAAATCTCATAGCATTTTGCAAACATAAAACAAATGGCCTTAACTCATGTTGTTAGAGAGCAGAACCCCTCATAGCTGTTACTAACGCTTTGCATGGGGCTGTAAACACATTGCCACATTTTAGAGATAAAGCCACGGCTGAAAACATGTCATATCCAAAACACTTACTATATCACTGCTATTGCTGACACCTTTTGTGACGTACAAAACCAAAATAAAGCTAAACATGTTTGCTCAGTGGTCAGCATAACTACTGAACACAGCTTTTCCATCAACCTTGGCTCAGATCCTGCGAGGACCAGAGGATCCTTTTCATCCTTGATATGAAAACACCATGCGTGGTCAGCTCACAGCTAGGAAGCCGAGGGTCAGATCTACCTGAACTCAAAAAAGCAATAAAGTGCAGTAATAACAATTGCTCAGCACAATATAAACGTTGACAATAAGAGAGCATGGCCAGATCTGAGTGCCCGTTAACTTCTCTCAGGGGAAACACTTCTGCCTGGGTGGGTTACAATAGGCATCTAACCGCCCCTACACAGCTACCCCAGATTAATGAAGGGCATAGAGACCATTTCTATCATCCTGGAAATTACCTTAGGGAAACCGCAGTTTTCCTTCTCCTGAAGGTAAAATTACTACTGGCAAATTTCAATTTGCCCAAGAGTGGAAAAGCTTTCCAATGCACCTCATATTCACTAGAGGGAAAGCCAAGCTCATAAACCTCCAAGCAATTCTTGTTTGAGGACTCACCCCGGGCACAGAAATAACAGCACAGACAGGAGACAGGTAGAAAAGGACAAGAGATACCTGAGTGAAAACTCCAGTGGTGATGACATCAGACAACTTCCGTTTCTCTCATTAGCACTCAGGCAATATTCATGTCATTTGTTTAATATCACACTTCAGTGAGTTCTGTTTACTGAAGTGATCACACAGATCAGGTGCTTGAACAGAAAACTGCCTTCTGGCTTCAGAAGGAGAAGATTTAATCTGATTAACTTCAACATCTTTTCAGTATATTTAATAACCACCTGATGACATGCTTCTGGGAAGTGAAAGAACAGCCCCCATGCTTTTGAAGCCCAGTTTGTCCTCCAGAGGAGATACTGAAGTGCTTAGAACTGTATTTGAATCTAGTCCTCTGCAACTATTTTAAAACAGCCTGCTTATCTAGCTTCTCAGCCCCTTCTAAATCATAAGCTCATTTTCACTTGCTAGAAATCCACTTATGAGTGGATTTCGAGCACTGAGAACAAATGTTGCAGGAACAAGTCTGTCCTAGCTACAAGCAGAATCCTTTTGTCAATAAGAAATTACTCAGATAAAATGTTGAATACACGCATATATATATAGCAATAACCAGAAACAATAACAACATCAGCCTTTTCCCATCCAGAAATGCAAACCAAAGCATTTTGTCCAGCCCTCCTCTTTCGCTTGCTTGAGGAGCTAAATCCCTGTTTGGTTAAGAGGAACATGCAACAGATGAAGTCTAGCAGCAGCCAGGCAGCTCTGCCTGGCTTCTCAGCTGCCAAGTTAATGTTAACAAGATGAAACCTGAGGGGATACATAAATATTGACCAAAGTAGCAGGCATTCATGCACTATTTGCAAAAAGAGGACCCTCAACCAAGTAAAGCACTGGGACATGCGGGCAGACAGATGCTCTGTCTGCTCATTTTAGCTGTGGAAGAGGTCCGGGAGCGAAGACAGGGCCTGATGCAGCACAGGGCTTGCATTTCCTTATTTGCATTGGAGTCATTTTGGAACGCGAACCTGTAAGATGGAGACAGAAAGAAGAGAAAATAGTAAGATTTTTAATCTGAAGTGCTCGCAACAACACAAAATATTCATACCTGAAACTGAACTGTTAACATGGCCTGTCTTAAGTTACCTGAAAACAAAAAGGATGAGACAGCAGTACGTTTTCTTCATGGCTTTGCTGGAGGTTACCCATTTCACTCAGCACAGGGGGGATAAAATAGGAAGAGTTGGAGGCACCAGCTAAAGGAAAACTGCAGAGAAATACAAGGATTTCCACATAGGTCACCTAACTACAAAGAGAAATGAAGGATTCCAAGTATTTTCTCACTGGAAATGAATTTGCAGGGAAGTTCAATATCAGTAGTTCCATGAGGAAAAATTGGAAGAAAAAGAAAAGGCTATTGATCATATTCTGTGTCTTTAAAGTTTACTGAAACTTATTAGCTGTCCATTTTAATGCATTTAGAAACATACAATTTCAAATATTGTTACTTTAGGGAGCAAACCTAATTATTATTATTTTCACTCATATATATCTATTCATGGTTTACTTCTTTTACCCGTGTCTTATTGAAGCTAATGACATTATGGAAATAAAGAAAGAACCAGTTTGGGCTGAGATTAGAAAAGGTACTGAGCAACTGTAGTAAGGATAAATGAAAATGTACAAGATTGTTAAGTGAGACAACAGTGTAATGTACTGAAGCATATAGTTGTAGAAAAATCTAATCAGCGCCTTACTGATTATTTCTGAGGAAAGGAACTCTATCTGATTCTTTCTGGAGGGAGTGGAACCTTCCTTTTGCTATCCAAAATAACCTATTTAGAACAAGGAAATCAGACATAATTCTTCCATCATCCATCTGGATGAGAAGACAACCTTCAGCTTTCTCTCACTTTTCATCTGCTTGTGCCAAGTGAATAGAGCCATTTGCAGGCTTGTTCAACTACACAGTGTTTTCAGTCAACAAAAAGGTACAGACAGGATATAACAAGTCCATAGATACAAGCATTTGATCACCATTTCACAGCAAGGCACCAGTCAGTCAAAAAATGAAGCCAAAAAAACTCACTCCAAACACAGTTACGTTCAAAGTTTTCTGAAAGGATAAAATCACCATCCAGAAAGGCAACAAAATGTCTTGTCCTCACTCCAAAGGCTATGATTTCTGCCATTTCCCCTCAGAACAAACGATCTCAGAAGACTAGAGGGTGGCCCTCCTCTTCTACCTACTGTTGCAGGGAACACATTTGGCTAGAGATGGCCTTGAAATTCTCAAATGCAAGTACACTTGTACTTGAGAAGTCCAAAGACATTCTTACTTAAGGCAAATCCAGCTTCAAACAATTCTTAGCCTGAACAGCATTGCAAGATCAAAATTTGAGCTTTTTGTAATTAACAGAATTATGCTTCAGGGTCAATCTCTCAAGACATGGAGATGTATTCACCCACAGATAGTCACAGAATGGAGCAAGGCAAAGACACCATAAAATTGCACTTTCGTAGTCCCTGTTCTTGTCAACGAGGAACCATGCTATGATCCTATACTTCCTGCCTTCAAAACAGCAGCACAGCCTTCCACAATGCATGAATTGATACAACACTTTATGCTTAGATCAGGCTATTACCTTTCTCCAAAATGTTTGACACAGTGAGCATCAAACAGAAGCTTTTCTAGTCTTATTTCTTCAATTCCAAATGCTGAAGCATCACGTGATCAAGAAAACAGCATCTCATTTGTACAACAAAGGTAATTCTTGCATGGCAAACTCTGTTAAACCATGTGATTTTATCTTTAAGTCTTATCTTATTAAGCATTATCTAATTGCTACAATAAAAATGCAGATATTACCTTTATGCACTCTTCTGTTGATTTTGGCCAGTTTTAAACAGCAGCCTTTTTTAACATTCCGACCTAAGAGTGAAAAAATCATACACTGTCAAGGGAAAAAAAAGATGCAGAGTACATGCACAAAATGTGTTAGAGTTCATAGACATGTTGATTACATTATTTACCATTAAAGTCCTTGAAGAAGAGAGAGACCTCTGAAACAAAGGATCACCACAACTGATTTTTACATTCGTTCACACCTTGTTCCTAGCACAGAACAGGAATTAATTCATCATCTTCTATCATTACTAGTAGACACAATATGCCAGATACAATGTGAGGATTTTTACCTTTAGAAGGTCACACATTAGCAGGCAACATGACCAGCAAATTCCAGCTGCCTTAATACAAAACAAACAAACAAAGCTGTTTTTTTTTACAGCTACATCACCTAAGGAAAGGATAGAAGATATCCAAGAAGACAAATAGAGCATCTCTGGGTCCACATGCACAGAGGTACAGAATAAATTGTTTTGAACAGGCAAAGCCATTTAGTCACTCCCTGCCTAGTAGACCTAAGTGAGCTGTTGATTGTGCTTGAATGCTTGGTACAGAGCTGGATACATTATAGGGAGAATAAAAGTTGACAGGGTAGCAAGCACGGAGCAGAGGTGGAACACAAAGGATGGAGGTTGGTTGAATTCTCAACAGCAAAGTCTCCCACACGCTCAGCGATCCCAGAAATCCCTATGGCACAGTTCTACAGCCAAGGCAAGTGGTGGTGGCTGCTCTAGCATCCAAGAGGCTTGAGAAGTCACATTACCACTGTTTCATTCTGATCTAACACGTTTTACGTAAAATGTAACCAATTTGTATACCCAGGCACTTTCACCGCAGCTGGAATGAGTAACACTGCACTGGAACCACAGTCAGAAGTGAGCAGATAGCTGCAGTTCATTCTAGACTGCTCTTCAACACCACTGCATCAGTTGCACTTAAGCACGCTCACATGCTTACACAACCCAGAAACCTCATGCACGTCTTGCTGATCAGTGTGCTTGTGGATCATTACGGATAAGGAAGAGTATCGTACAAAAATTCTTCTGTCTCTTTTGATCCTAGGAAGTATGAACTTCCTTGGATGCACACTATTGGGAAGGAACATTAATACAGGGCAGCTCTCTACTTACGTCTTATCGGGTACTGCTGTTGCTTCTGCTATGCTCCTGAAGACAAATCTAGACACACTCCAGCTTCCTTTGACTTAAGGCACACTTATAAAAACACACCCCAGCATTCAGTCACCCTCACCATAACTCTGGCTGACATATCTACCTCTCAGATCAGCTCTGTTAAAGGAGAAAACTGGGCAACTCGCTTTACTACTTTTGAGGAACAGCTTCTGCATGTTTCTCCACGCTCATGTGCACACATCGAATGATTTCTATGAGCTTTCTAGAACGCGTGAAGCATGAAAAATCTGCTGCTTTTGATGACTGGACACTTATTTAGCTTTCCTTATCTTATAGTCATTCACTACATCTTGTCTAAAAAATAAATACCATGGAACAATACAGAATCACAAGGTTGGAAACGACCTGCAAGATCATCTAGTCCAACCACCCTCCCATTCCTATCAGTACCACAAGCACTAAACCATCTCTCGTAGCTCCTCATCCAGGCGCCTCTTGAACACTGCCAGGGACGGCGACTCCACCACCTCCCTGGGCAGCCATTCCAGTGCCTGACCACCCTTTGAGAGAAAAAGTTTCTCCTCATGTCCAACCTAAACCTCCTCTGGTATAACTTCTGGCCATTTCCTCGGGTCCTACTATTTGCCTGGGAGAAGAGGCCGGACCCTTTTGCACCACAACCTCCCTTCAGGAAGTTGTAGAGTGCAATGAGGTCTCCCCTGAGCCTCCTCTTCTCCAGACTGAACAATCCCAGCTCTCTCAGCCACTCCTCATAAGACTTGTGCTCCAGACCCCTCACCAGTTTTGTTGCCCTTCTCTGGACGCGTTCCAGGGCCTCAATGTCTTTCTTGTAGTGAGGGGCCCAACGGTAGGCCTCAGACCTTTACAACATCAAAGATCAAATCTGAAGAGGTAACCAGGAGTTCTAAGTGCGACATTCTTCAGTTTCAAAATCCTACTAAACCTTTTACCTCGCAAAGCCAGAATGGCATCTACAGATATGTTCTGTGGACAAAGACTTTTAAAGTCTAAAGCACTCTGAAATTGCATGCTTTGGAATACTACAAAGTGGTAAATGAGTGCCATAAAGTAATGCAGTTGTTAAATTATGCAATATCAGCACCAAAGAAAAAAATTGAGACCGACTGATGGTCAGGAGAGCTACCATCACCTGTCTCATGCTCTGATCAGACCTTCCCATTTACTCGTTCTGTTCCATACTCCCCTCATTCCACAAGTGTAAAGATGCCTTCCACTAATTTTCTTCACAACTTGGGCAATGTGCAACTCTTACAATGTTAGATAGTTGTCTACTGGAAAAAAATATAACAAGGACCTCTTTTCAGGGCTGCAGATGGGGAGTAGGTTTCAGAAGACAGATAAGGGTTGAGAACTCTACACAGTGTGCAGCAGGCAGCAAAGAAAAAAACCACCATGCAAAGCATGCAAAGATATTTGGCAGCTCTAAATTCTTCCCTAAATTTGTCGTCTTTTCCTCCCCGATTGCCAAGCTCTGTTTGTTTCTTCTAATTAAGATCAACAATCAGAGAATGAGCACTTTTTTTTTTTTTTTTTTTAAGTTACAAGAGAGAAGCACAAGAGAAGAAGGGAAACAGTCGTCTTAGAAAAATATATACTGTACCTTCTGCAGTAAAGGCACTGAGGCACAAAAGGAAGACAAACAGAAAGCCACAGAGCGCCAGGAGCTTCATCCTCCCAACAAGTCAGGAGGTGTCTTCTAGGAGGCTGAGGAGCGTTTTGGTTTGCCTCCAGCATAGCTTCACGTTTTTTTATAATGTTGATCAGACCTGTCTTGAGATTGGGTGGAGATTTGGCCTTTGTATTGCACTTTAGGGTATGGAAACAAACAGCCCTTCCTCCTACGAGAAACAATTTACTCATAAATCAGGCAGCAGTTAGCTGCTATAGCGAAAGCACTACCAGTTAAGAGAGCACCTGGTTTTGACTTTCAGAGCACAGAAGGATGCTCCAATGCAGAGCGCTTGTCCTGTGGCTCACAGCAGCTCCTTGGTGAAAGCCTTTGGATTGCTTGGAAGGACAGAGCACAGCTGAAATGAAGGGAGCTGAAACTGAAAATCCACACCGAACCTGGAGGAACTAAATCAAAGCAACTCCAATGTGGTGTCAACATAATTAACAAGACAGATGGCTATGCAGCATATTTCTGAGTTTATCATTAACTTCTTGGTATCTAATATACTCGGTTAATTAAGACTCTCATAGAGATTCCAGTTAACGATCAAGATTAGGAAGTCCATCAAATTCAACAAAGTATCAAAGTTCAGAGAACGCATGTTTAAAAAGCCTTTCGAGAAAGGATCAGCTGCAGTTGAGTCTCTTAAATGAGGCAGTGTAGGTCTGATGGCACCTTGTTCTCACAGCTTATTCTGAAATGACTTAGATCTGCTGTGAGCTGAGCAGCCGCCTGGGCTACACCCACAAGCTGCCTGGACTTGGAACTACAGCAGGACATACGGGTGCACTGTGGTGTACCTGCACATTCATCCCTCTTCTCTCAACCCTGAACTTCAAAAAGTTCCATATTCCAGATTCTCAAATTAGGTTGCTTCTTGTGCTGGACCAATAGCTTTCCAAATCAGTGTCAGTCCTTTAGCCTACCAGCTTTAGCACACAAAGCTTTTCTCTACCTTAATAGCTTACAGTATCCAAGTATTGCAAGGGTTGATAATTTGCCCATCTTTTCTACTAAGGCTGACATTACCAAGCCTTTCAGATAAAAATCACGAACAGTATTTGCTACACAAAGCATTCTCTTCCAAGTGCTTTACAAACAGCCCTTCCTTACCACAGCCACATCTCAATCCCTCATGTGACTAAGACTCTCAAAGTACTTTTCTATTACAGTCAGTGACACAGAAATATGAATGGGACAACAGAACTTTGATCTATGTTTATGATTTTAGGCTCATAAATAGTTAAAACATATGGATGAAAGCCTTGATCTCGCACTTTAAGACCCAACAACACTTCTGCATGTTAGTATAGAATGGATCCTTTAATTTGCATCACTACATACACAGAGGAACAGGCAAAAACCATACACCGATCATGATTGAAAAAGTTTTCCAAAAGGTGTATTACTTTGTGTTGTGGAGAAAAAGAACAGTTACTGTACTGGTAAAAAGTTAGTTCTGTGACTGAGCATAACTATTTATAGGTAGTAACCACGTGAACAAGATATTTCAATGGTAACCCAGAAAACAGCTACTGTTTGCAATTGAAATACGTAAAATCTCTAAAAACAAAGAATTGAAATTCTTAATTGTTACCTACCCTGAACATTCTAAAACCATTTACTCCCTGAAGCAATTTTAAATTCACCAGCAACATGGTTACTTCTGAAACACACACAAGATCTCCTCACGCTTCTCTGTTAACAAAAAACTCTCATTTTTCTTCCCCAGAGAGATGATGGCATTTCAGCTCTGCCTTTTAAAACTGCCTCACCCAACTGGCTTCCTTCCTTAAACAAAGTATAAATAAAAAAAACCACCTCATAAAAGGCACATATTAACTCAAACCTAGTAAGACTTTATACCCCAAGAATCTTTCATGTCTATAGAACTGAATAACACCATCGCCTCCTCCTTCAGTGTGCACAATAAGAAATAAAAGTTGAATACAGAAGGGGAAAGTAACTAAGTAATAAGGGATATGTATTGTATAAGAGAACCTTGTCACATTATGGCTGTTGACATCCCCAGCTACGTTCATCTAAGTGAGCTGGAAGGGCACTGGAATGTTGAATGCAATACAGCTGCTACCAACACCCACCACAAGAAAAGGAATCATTTTTCTTAAATACTTACAAAACAACATTGGCAACAGGAGTGCTTAAAAATAATTATTCTCCTAAATACAGATGACTGGATTGTAATTTTACCACCCACTGCAAGCAAGATAAATATGCATTGCTTGGATACCTCACTTGCTTTCTGCTTGAAAGAAGCAGGTTGCTACTAGGTCTCCTCTGTTGAGCAATCCAAGCCTTCCAGCTGCTGTCATGGGAAATAAGGATAATAGGTGTGTTTGCCTCATCTCTGACTGCTCAAATACACTACCATGAGGAAACCATGCAGATAGCAGCAAGCTGTGATGTCCGCTTCCAGCCTGCTTTTCTATTTCTCATTCTGAGTTTGGAGAAGCCAAACAAACCACTTCCTTAAAAGCCATCAAATCAAGATAGAGCAAAAGACTTGGCCAGGTAAGTTTGAAGTACTGCCCATAGGCACCCAGCTCTGCTTGCTACAAAGAGAGGCTGCCACCATCTCTGCAACTTTGGTTAACTCATAAGCAAATAGGAGGATGCTGTCTGCAACATGGTTTTGGTCCTCCCATCAAACATGGAGGATCTCTGCTCCAGAGCACAGCAGAACAGTTGACTTCTGGATTTTCTCCAGCGTCTTTCTCTTCTCTTATCTATTCCAGTGAAAACACATGGTGTGCTGCAAGACAAATTATCCTCAGCCTTATAGGTTTTGATTTATAGTCTTAGCTTCACACCTTTGCCACTGCTGATGGCAGTGTCCCCTATTCAGACAGCACATCTGTACCAGCAATTACGCTCATTTCAATTAGTTTTTTAAGTGTCTTCTCACTTAGAGACTGGAGACTCACTTGGACTGTCCCCCTGCCTCTTTGCACGATTCCAATCATTCTTTCCCTTCCTTTTTGGTACTAACAGGCCCTGTTTGTTCTGTACATGTGAAGGATGCCCATATACTTCAGAGTGACAGGACTGGAAGGACAAAAAAAAAAAAAAAACAAAAAAAAACCTGCTTTGTACAAAAGAAAGTTGGTATCTATTAAATAATTTGTTTATCCCTTGCTTTTCAAAGGAGCCTCTGGTATGACGCCTGTATTAATGGACACTACAGCTATGGCAAGAATTGAGCCTGCAATAAAAGCAGCATCTCATCACAGACTGAGACTACAGTGGACTGTACCTCATTTCCATGTACTATGGAAGACATCCATTCAAAGGCCTTCAAATCATTAAAAATCATAATTTTAGTGTGTTAATCTCGTTTCATATTTGTACACAAATTTCCTAAGGAGAGGTTAATCATAACGGGTTGGTATAACCATAACCATCGTATTAGTTTTCACAAAATAAGGCCTTTGCCTAGAACCAGCTATAACTGTTGGTGAAATGCTTCCAGAATTTATAGAGCTCACTACATGCTTACTCACCTTTCAGCAGCTGTGATACTAGTTTACCAAACTTACCTAATGAAAAAGTAGTAAAATAAGATATTCCCTTATAATTTTTTGCAAGATTTCCCCGCTTTTAAACCCTCCACATTCAGCTGGCAGTTTCCTCCATTCCCCTAGTACTCACAGATCTCTTGCTAGTGTTGCAGTACAATGATTATTCTGCCTGTTAGCTCTGCTCTTCCTTCTTCTCTCCATTGCCAACATCTTGTGCAGGTGATTGTTATCCATTACTCCACGAGGATAAACACCTTCATCACAAGGGTTTATTTTAGTTCCTTGCAATATTTTTCCCAGCTGCTCCCTCTCAAATGATGGAATAGTGGTAGCAAGGGTGCTCTTCACCTAGCTGGCACTTTTCTTTATGGCCTTATGGCCATGAGCATGCTGCCTTTCCCCACAGTGTTTCAAGTAGGTCTGCTTTATACCATAATTTAAGTCAGCAGCTGCACCATCTTTGCACTTAAAAATTTGAAATGGACTCATTTTGGGAGAAGAATAATGCACTTAAATAACCCTTCCATGTAGTATTTAAGGAAGAATTGGATTTTTATTTCAGTGCTCAGTTGCAGTGGCTTTCATCGCTACAAGGTACAGATGTGCTCTTACAACAACTTATAAGAGCTCTTCTTATGGGAAACTGAGTACATCAGTCTGTGGCAGTTCTTAGTAAGGATGGCTGTTCAGACCTGCAGCCCCGTGCTGGAATTCCAGCTGCTACAAAGCCAAAAAACCCAGCAGCAGGAGGTCCCCAGATTAGTCATTAACCCACCATTTGCCAACCTCACTCTAGCAGTGCAGAATAGCCAATGGCAGCAGAAGTGACCCACTCTAGAAATATAATTCTCTCACCCACATATTCTCTCGCTGTGTCTTAGAGTGCTGACCTTAAGATTTAAGCACCTCTCCTTTCAGATTCTACTTTCAGAGATAGACGAATGGGAAGAGGGTCAGAAAGACATAATATTTTTGCTGATTTCTTCATTCCTACTTTAAATGCTGTTTGATTCGTTTTTGTAGACACCCATATTAAGCTTCTGAACAATTATTTACCTCAGAAGCATTCTCAAGAATGAAGCTGTAACTAAAAAATAGTGTTTTTATTTGTTAATTTTTGTTTATTAAAAAAAAAAATCAACAGAACATAAATTCAACCTTTTAACACGTTATGTTGCCACTTCTTACTAGCAGGCTTACAAAAAATAATTGTTGCAAACTGTTTTTAAGTTTTAATTTCATAAGAAAATAGCATGACAACACTGTCATCCTGGATTTGGTCAACAAGGAATCTGCCAGGGACTGGAGAAAAATAGAGCTTCTGACCACTAACAGGAAAAAAAAAAAAAAAAAAAAAACAGCATTAAATACTTCACTGGAAAATCTTTAAGTCTTAGGTAACATTCACAAAATATCCTAAATATACAGTATACAAATTATATGGAAGTCTATGTACCAA